CTTCCCTCAATGCCCTACTAAGCCGGCCCCTGGGCTTGATGCTTTAAACTTTACCAACCCTATTTTTGGAGGTTCAGGGTTCAGGGTTCAGGGTTTAGGGTTTAGGGTTTAGGGTTTAGGGTTTAGGGTTTAGGGTTTAGGGTACTTATGACCCCAAAACCAAAAGCTGTACTTATAAGATCTTATAAGACCCCATAAGTCCTCTAAATGGGTACGGTTCGAAGTAGGCTGAGAATTTGGGTGGCAAGAACCCATGAGCCTCCAAGGAAACCCTCAAAACGTGCTGTGGAGGACGCTGGGTCTATCAGCAGCGGGCAGAGCATGGACACCTGCAGGGGGGCCGGAAGGGAGTCCATTTCGTGGTTCGGAGGCGGAAATTTTGGAAAGCATAACCCTAAACCCTAAACCCTAAACCCTAAACCCCAATCCCTAAACCCTAAACCCTAAACCTGGATATGGGGTGCCTAATTCCTAATTCCCTCGACTCAGACTTCTGAGAGCCGGGAAGAGGTGCATACTTGGTAAGGTCAGTTCTCGGCGCTGTAGTCCCTTTTGGGCTCTCCTTTGAGAACACGAAGCCCCTTATTTGTTGGGGAAAACCGAAAAGTGGCCATGTTGGTTCATGGATGAATCAGGCCTCAGGCGGCGAGCGTGAGACGAACAGATGGCAGACGCAGTGAAACCTGAGCACTTGCCCACTGCGTCTTCAACCCTGCGCGGCAGAACGCAGGACAGGAACCACGTGGCAGGTACTCTGCATGTACTCCTTGCCCTAAACCTTAAACCCTAAACCCTAAACCCTAACCCTTACAACTGAGGCATCATCCCATGGTGGAAGAGATTGCGGAGGATGTGCATGCGAAAGCAAGCCCCACCTGGCACAAAGGTGACAACTTTCCCTAAACCCTAAAGCCTAAACCCTAAACCCCAAACACCAAACCCTAAACCCTAAACCCTAAACCCTAAACCCTAAACCCTAAACCCTAAACCCTAAACCCTAAACCCCAAACCCAAGGGATGTAAGGAGGGACCCCTGGGAGAGACCTCTTATTCCCCTATAGAACCCCTAGATACCTGATAAAGTCCCTATATGCCTAAGTAGCCCCTACATTACCCCTAAGGTCCCTTATAAGGGTCCCTCCTCTCAGTCCCTAAACCCTAAGCCCTAAGCCCTAAGCCCTAAGCCCTAAACCCTAAACCCTAAACCCTACAATTTCTGAGGGCCCCACCGAGGTCCATATCCGGAGCCAGGGGCGACTCAAGGCACAGTTGCACAGGGCCTGAACGACACCGAAGACTTGGGATGTTCCGCAATACACTAGCAGTCCTGAATAGGGATTCTAGTAGCCCTACACCCTAAACCCTAAACCCTAAACCCCAAACCCTAAACCCTAAACCCTAAACCATGGTCCGTATTCAGGACTGCTAGTATAAGGGGGAACATCCCCACCTAAAACTATCGTAAGCTAGCCTACTTGGAGATTCAGGATACTTACAACCTCAAGTATAACTTCTTAGCCGCCTTTAAGTCCTCTACACCGGTTCTAAGCAGACTTAATAATTGGGGTTAGAAGTTATACGTACCCATGAACCTCCGAGTAGGACAGCAGCCCACCCAAGAAAAACCTTCCGGCCTCGCTGCTTCTTCTCAGGGAACCGGCTGGCCTTGTCAAAAGCATCAGAGACTCGGATTGAAACTCGGGATGACATAGGCAATGCCTCGAGCTACATGGATGTCGCAGCTTCGGGGAGTGAGGGGGTGTGAGGGGGGGAGGGGGGGGCGGGTGTTTCAGCATGGCCGGAGAAGACTGTGGGGGGAAAACCCGAGGCCTGCAACATGCATCCCCCACCCGTTGAGTTAAAAAAACAAAATGGCACCCTAACTACCCTACACCCTACACCCTAAACCCTAAACCCTAAACCCTAAACCCTGAACCCTGAACCCTGAACCCATCCCCACCTTCGCGAAGGTCGAGCCGCCATCCAGAACCGAGATGCCCTCAGCGAGCGCGGCGTTCGGTGCAAGAAGCGGCTCTCAAAGCAGATCGTGCTTCTGGGGCGGCCCTAACAACTAAAAATCTAAATGTATGTGTGTATATATATAGATATACATTTTCCATATAAGACTGAATATGAAAATATTTAAAGCATTATAGAGATATCTGAAAATGAAGAACATCAAAAGCACAATGATACAATAACAGCGAAAAAATATCACAACATGCTAACATGGAAAATGTAATCTCCGAAAAAATATAATAGCATTAGGCCTGCGTCATGTAGTTGAACTCCTGGCCGTAGTACCTGAAAGCTTCCACGCGCAACGCGAAGGCAGTGTGGCTGAGCATGCTACACCCCAAAACCCTAAACCCTAAACCCCTCGGGGCCCACTTCAAGAAGTCAAAGAGGAGATGCCCCAGGGATGTTCCAGCGTACCTGGCCATCGAGATGCCCATGGTACCTGCCTCCCAGAGTCAAAGATACACACAAACTGGAGGCAAAGCCCTAAACAGACGCTCCCTAAGCCCTGAGCCCTCAACCCTCAACCCTACACCCCAAACCCCAAACCCTAAACCCTACACCCCTACATGGCGCTGGGTCGGCTCACTGTCGCGTACTCCGGAACGAAGGATGCCTCTGGAGGAAATGGAGGACCACGTTGCAGAGGAGGTAGGAGCCCATGCCACCTTCGGAAGCTGGCTTGGACTTCATAAGGTTTAGAGTTAAGACACTTAGGGGTGTTTTAGTTTAGGGGCCTAGTGCAGATGAGAGTTTAGGGTGTTCTAGTCCAGTTTAGAGTTTAGAGTTTCGAGTTTTTTGAGTTTAGGGGCCCTTAGTAGGGTTTCGGGTTTAGGGTTCAGGGCTTAGGGTAGGGGGATATTTGTGCTGTGGGCTTTTGGCTTGGGGGTTTGCAGTCTTTGCCTTTCAGGGCCAAGTGTCTTCGGGAATCCACTGGCCTGTATACGTCTCATGGAGCCCGCGCTGAAGAAGGAAGTACTTCAGGAAGAGAAGCAGAGGCTTCATCTGCGGATACTCCTGCATCCATGCGAGCTCCGGATCGGACCCCTTACAGGGGCAGTTGCTGGAGGGATGACAAGAGTGGCAAGTAAGTAGGATAAGAGCCACATAGCAAGAGTCGGAACAGAATAGCCGATACAAGACCCTGCACAGCCCACCTAACCCTGAACAACTTTAATCCACTCAAGCCTAAACCCGAAACCCCCCGCCCCCCGATCCTTCAGCTGGGAGCGAATGAACTTGGACGACTCCATCCCGTCAGGCTGTCAGCGGGGAATGGCTCAAGGTGGGCTTAGGGTGTAGGGTTTGGGGTTTAGGGTTTAGGGTTCAGCCACAAGAAGTATGGTTACGATCTTGCGCATTATTGTACTGCTTCTTTGCAATTGGCACCAATGAACACCGCATTGCTGCACGCTCATCCCGTGAGAGGCCTGACTGAAGACCACATCCGCACGAAGGCCGCAGGACTGCGATCGTACCTTCACCACCGGCACCTGCCATACAGCTCCCCCAAGTCAGCAGACCTGGGAGAACCCTAAACCCTAAACCCTAAACCATACTAGCCCTAAACCCTCAACCCTAAACCCTAAACCCTAAGAGCCCCAAACCCTAAGAGCCCAAGCTCGCCTTGGCGGTCTCAATAATCTCCAGCCAGCTGATCTCCCCCTGCGAGAGAAGGTGATCCTCGTCAAGACGAAACCAGGCTCTGGGCTGCGGCCCTCTGATAGCCAAGCCCTGCTAAACACAGCCAGCTACATACACATACATATATATATATATATATACATATACACATATACATATATACATATATACATATATACATATATACATATATACATATATACATATATACATATATACATATATACATATATACATATATACATATATACATATATACATATATACATATATACATATACATATATATATATATACATATGTCTGCATATATGCATTTTGTATTGGACTTGTACTAGTATTTGTATGATGATTCTCATTCGTTCTTGTTGAGACTATTCAAGGTCAGCAGGATCGCAGTCCGCCAGCATCTTCATCGCCGTACCTGTCCTACAAGGACAGCTTTCAAAGCAGAAGACAACTGCATCCCAAAGCAGTGCGCTTCTCAGCACAAGAGAGGTTCCCTAAATTAGGGTCCCCTTCTGTGGTGCCTCTGATATGGAGTACACACATCTATATATATATATATATATATGATAGATATATTATGGTACACGAAAAAGGGATTGTAACTTAGAGAACCTCCAAGAAGACGCAGAAGCACGTGTCTTACAAGCTGCCTGGAACCGGCGCACGAGGCCCTTGCTTGGCAAAGGCGCCTACTGGGACGCTTTGGGGGGGGCATTAAAAGTGCAGATTCGAATTTGGCTTTAACAAAGGGTCTCTGCACTGTGGCCTGTACAAGATCGCACTCTGGGCCGTAGGGTTACGGGCTTCGGGCTCGGGACTCCGCAGGGTTGTAAAGGGACTCCCATGCGGATTCCGAGTTTGAGTCTCCGGGTTGAGGGCTTTCTTGGTGAGGGCTGGGGGGTGTTGCTGACCCTGACTCTGACCTAAGTGCAGCAGAGATGTTCTCTGCTGAACAAGAAGATTAAATCTCATGCGCCAAGCTGAGCAGCTTCCATTACCCAGCAAGGTGGGACTGAAAAGCTGCACGAGCAGCGGTGCACGGGCTGTGGCGCTGGTTCGCTCTGTACAATGCTGCGCGAAAGCTGCCTGCCTTTAGCACACTCTACATCGATGTCTGGTGGCTGTTTGGGAGATGAATGGGAGCAGTCAGATCCGATGGTTTTTGCAGTTTGGCAAGTCCGACAATGACCAAGACAGTCGATGCAATTCCGAATACAGTCTTGCCGTCGATGCCGCTTGTGTGCACCCCATCTTCAAAAATTCAGGAGCCGACTGGGCCTGGCGCAGAGATTGGAAACCGGCCCAACTGCAGGAAAAGCTCTGGTAGGAGTTGACTACTAAATATGGGGACATAGAGCTGTCTACTCCTGAAAAAGGCTCTATAATTTTCCCCATAGTGAGTAGATTGTTTATTCGAAAGATGTATCTTAAATAAATCCATGTGTTCCACTTTCCCATAACAGTTAGAAGAGAAGATGTCTGAGGTGCCGGCTTAGCTCCAACTTGCCTTTGCCCCCATCGGAAGTTGTGAAGGATCCTGGTGAGGGCTCTAGGGTTTAGGGTTTAGGGGTAGGGTTTGGGATTTGGGGGTGAGGGTTGAACTAGGGTTTACGGTTTAGGTTCAGCGATTCAGAGTATAGAAGTCCCTGGCACCCCGGCCTGTGATCTGCGCGACATGATGGCTGTAGAAGACATGGCCTGATGCCTGAAGGGCACGAAGGAGCTTAGGAGGTTAGGGTTTAAGGCTTCGGGCTTAGGGCACGAAACCCTAAAATAAGTAAACCCACCTCTTGCGGGTCAGCTAGAGCATGCTAAACCCTACTGCACACCCTACAACGCTAAAGCCCCACACCTTGGGATGTTCCCCCTTATAGTAACAGCTCCTTAATAGTACAATAAGGGGGTACTATCACTTACTATCATCCCTATTATACTAACAGTCCTTAATAGGGACTACAATCGGGGGTACTATCAGTTACTACCATCCCTATTAAGGACCGTTAGTATAGAGGGAAAACATCCCAACCTACACCCCTAACTCTTGGAGGCCAAAGCCCTACACCACCCAACCCTAAAGCCTCAAAGGCTTGCTTAACGGGGGTTTAGGGTTTAGGGTTTAGGGTTCAGGGTTTAGGGTTTAGGGTTTAGGGTTTAGGGTTTAGGGTTTAGGGTTTAGGGTTTAGGGTTCAGCAGCTCTGGGTCGAGCAATCTCTAGTAGAGCCGTTGTCTGGACTCTAGAAAAAAACCCACCCACCCAGAGAATCCCAAAACATTAAGAAATATAAAGTTCTCATTTTTCCTCAGCAAGCCCTGTCCTCCAACCTCATTTATTCATTCTGCCCGTGTTTTTTGTCATTCTGCTTGGTTTCCATTCTGCTCGTATGCGTTTCTTTCTGCTCGTATTCATTCTGCTCGTATTCGTTCTTTTTCTGATCTGCTCGTCTCGTGTTCGTTCTCGTTCTGCTCGTATTCATTCTGCTCGTATTCGTTCTCTCTCTGCTCGATTTCAGTCCGCTCGTTTTCGTTGTTTTTCTTCTCGTATTCATTCTGTTCGTATTCGCTCTCTCTCTCTCTCTCTCTCTCTCTGCTCAATTTCAGTCTGCTCGTCTTCGTTCTCTCTCTGCTCGTAATCATTCTGCTCGTATTCGTTCTCTTTCTGCTCATATTCATTTTGCTCGTGTTCGTTCTCTTTCTGCTCGTATTCGTGCTTTTTCTGCACGCTCTCTGCTCGATTTCAGTCCGCTCGTTTTCGCTGTCTTTCTGCTCGTACTGAGTCTGCTCGTACTCATTCTCTTTCTGCTCGTATTCATTCTGCTCGTATTCGTTCTCTCTCTGCTCGACGTCAGTCTGCTCGTATTCGTTCTCTTTCTGCTCATATTCACTTTGCTCGTGTTCGTTTTCCCCGGTGACCCTGCCTATTTTTGGCCGTCTTGTTGGTTGTGTTTGGCACACTTTAAGCTGCCTGGCTTCCACATGGTTGCTTTCCAATTAGTGCCCCGGTGACCTCGCCTCATGTTGGCTCCTGCTCGTAGGGTTTGATGAGAGGCCTAGAGGTTTGTCGTATGTCCCCTCTCTTCGTGCTCGTAGGGTTTGTCGTATGTCCCTCCCTTCATGCTCGTAGGGTTTGATGAGAGGTCTACAGGTTTGTCGTACGTCCCCTCCCTTCGTGCTCTTAGATTTTGTCATATGTCGCCTCCCTTCGTGCTCGTCGGCTTTGTCGTATGTCCCTCTTTGTCTGCTTGCAGAGAATCCCAAGAATTAAGAAACTGAGGTTTTATTTTCAGAGGTTTGTCGTATGTCCCCTCCCTTCGTGCTCGTCGGCTTTGTCGTATGTCCCTTTTCTTCTGCTTGCAGAGAATCCCAAAACATTGAGAAATGTACGGGTTTATTTTAGAGGTTTGTCGTATGTCCCCTCCCTTCGTGCTCCAACCCCAGAATGGGGGTCCGGAAGTTGCTTTTCCCCACCCCACCCTCGGACCACCCAACATGAGGGGGCTGCCGCGTTGCCCGGCCCCCCGGAAAGCCTTCATCTTGATCGCGCCCAGACCCAGGTTTTCAAGCCCAGAATGGGGGTCTGGGCCAGAAGAGGGAAGGGGGGTGGGGCGGAGGGTGGGGGGGGGGGGGGGGGTGGGGGTGGGGGGGGTGGGGGGGGGTGGGTGGGGGGGTGGGGGGGGGTGGGGGGGTGGGGTGGTGGGGGGGTGGGCGGGTGGGGGGGGTGGCGGGTGGGGGGGGTGGGGGGGTGGGGGGGGGGGGGGGGGGGTGGGGGGGGGGGGGTGGGGTGGGGGGGTGGGGGGTGGGGAAGAGCCGTGGTTATTGGCAAAAAAGCCGTGGCCATTGGCAAAAAAAGCCGTGGCCATTGGCAAAAAAAGCCGTGGCCATTGGCAGAAAAGCCGTGGCCATTGGCAAAAAAGCCGTGGCCATTGGCAAAAAAGCCGTGGCCATTGGCAAATGCCACTTGCCAATGGCCACGGCTTTTTTGCCAATGGCCACGTTCCCCATCAAGGTTGGGCCCCAACCTAATGGGGAACGTGGCCATTGGCAAAAAAGCCGTGGCCATTGGCAAAAAGCCCGAAAAGTTGCCAATGGCCACGGCTTTTTTGCCAATGGCCACGTTCCCCATTAAGGTTGGGGGGCATTTTGTGCGAATTGGGTTTGAAAAACCCATTTTGGCGACCAACCTTAATGACATTGGTCGTGGCCATTGGCGAATTTGCCAATGGCCACGGCTTTTTTGCCAATGGCCACGGCTTTTTTGCCAATGGCCACGGTTTTTTTGCCAATGGCCACGGTTTTTTTGCCAATGGCCACGTTCCCCATTAAGGTTTAAATTATTATATGATAGAGAGAGTTTAGGGAGGGTGCACATCTTGGGGCTGTGAGGAAATTCGGGTCCGCTTGCAGATACCTCTATTGCATAACCCTTCAATCCTGAACCCCGAAGTCCCCAAACCTCAACCCTAAACCCTAAACCCTAAACCCTAAACCCTAAACCCTAAACCCTAAACCCTAACCCTCAAACCTCTCAAAGCCCTCAAAGCCCTCAAACCCCTCTGAAACCCTAAACCCTGAGCCCAAAACCCCCAAAACCTCAAACCCCTTAAAGCCCTCAAGGGCACCCCTAAACCCTAAACCCTGAAACCCCCAAGCCTCAAAACTTCAAAACCTCAAAACCTCAAACCCCTCAAGGCCTGCACCGAGCCCCAGGGGTGCCTCTCGACCTAGGCTTCGGTGGCCGGATAGGGTTTAGGGTTTGGGGTTTGGGGTTTGGGGTTTGGGGTTTGGGGTTTGGGGTTTAGGGTTTAGGGTTTAGGGTTTAGGGTTAGGGTTTTCGGGTTTAGGGCTTCAAGGGTGCAGGGCGTGCGTGCTTCAAGGTTTATTGGCTTTAGGGCTTAGTGGGCTTCAGGGCTAGAATTTAGGTGTGTAAGGGCCTTCAGGGCTTAGGGTTTCGCGTCCAGAGTCGCATCTGGCTGAGGGAGGCACCCAAGTAACCCGCTTGCTGGAAGGATCGAAGGTTCCAGTGATGTCGCCGAAGCCATCGGAACCTTCCAGTGGCGGCATGGAAGGACCTTGATCCCTGCATCCTACGAGAAGGGGCCTGTTTGGCTTGGGTACTTGGAGGTTCATGGTAATTTACCAGTTATGACTCCACGTATAAGCCCCTTAATGAACCCTAAACCCTAAACCCCAAACCCTAAACCCCAAACCCTAAACCCCAAACCCTAAACCCCAAACCCTAAACCCTAAACCCCAAACCCTAAACCCTAAACCCTATTGGGTTCATAAGTACCATGAACCTCCAAGTAGCTACCTAGGCTCCTTGTCTTAACCCCAAGGGCCAGGCCTTCAGTGCTTCCAACCAGCTGATTGTCAGGGAGGAACCGCAAGTGATACCTCCGCCACTCCGTTTAGGGTTTAGGGTTTAGGGTTTAGGGTTGAGGGTTGAGGGTTTAGGGTTCATGCCCTTCTTGAGTTCAGGTTCCAGAGGTTTGCTTTACAGGTGCCCTGCTCAAGGAATCTGATGCCGGAGGGCCCTAATACTGAACACCCTTCCCTTAAACCCTGAACCCTAAACCCTAAACCCCAAACCCAAAACCCTAAACTCATGTTTCGCAGGTCCCTAGGGCAGAAGCCTCGAACCCCGGGGCACTTGTTGCTGCGCTGGTGTGTACGCTCCATCAAGGTACCTTTCCATGCCTCGGCTCTACCATGGGTTCAGCATGCAGGGGGTTTAGGGTTTAGGGTTTAAGGTTTAGGCTTCTACAAAGTTTTTGTAGGGTTTGATTGGGTGTGGGGAGCGCTGTGGAGGTTTGCCTCATAACTAGGTTACGGCGTGGTTAACGACCCCGCCGAAAACACACGTTTTGCTTGGGGGCTTGAAGTGTAAAACCTCGATTTTTTCGCTGTTTCTGCACGTGGTTGCTTTGTAGCGCATGTCCAAAAAGCAAATTTTTACCGGTGGGCGAGATAATGTCGGACGAATTCACTGTAAATAGCAGTGTTTTCGTGTGTCCACGATTTTTCGACTTTCGGAAGTCGCTTGATTTGAGAAGGTTATTTTCGGCAATGCTGGTATTTACAGCGAAATTGCATGTTAAGACAGGTATTGTGAGACGTTTGTTTTTGAAAGGCCTTAGGGTACATGTTTCTGGACGAGTAGACAAGAAAGGGTTCCAGGCTGTCCGCTTGTGTGGAAATGTTGCAATTTACAGCGTATTATAGCTTCGGGCCTGCACTGTGCGGTGTATGGTTAGAGTACATGGGTATATACGGTATAACGGTATAAGGCTTAACTGTAAACCTTAAATCCTAAACTCTACATTCGACAGAAGGGTGAGGAATTTGGGCTTGCAGGACAGTGTTGAGGTTTGCATACAGAGCTTGGGGCGTGCACTGTGTGGTGTATTGTTAAGGGTATTTCGGCAACCAAAACCCGAAACCGGACATAAATGGGCAGAACGGTTTAAGGTTTAACCCAGAACCTTAAAAACCCGAAAGCAGACAAATGTCGGCAGAACGGTTTAAGGTTTAACCCTAGACCAGTGTTTGGGCAAAACACAAACTAAATGCATGGACACAACAGGCATGAACACTTATAACAAATTTTCTTGTTCCACATCCTTGTGCAGTACGATGTACAAAGCGGCGAAAACGCAGTAAATACTGGTGTTTTGGGCATGGACGCAATATGAATGACGTTCTTACCCCCCCCCCACACCCCCCGCCCCTCCAACTCCCCCCCCCCCACACCCCCCCCCCCACACCCCCCCCCCCCCCCCCAAACTCCCCCCCCCCCACCCCCGTAGCACCTTGGAAAACCGCATATTCGGCGGGGTCGTTAACAACGCCGTAAGCCGTAAGCCATAACTAGGGTTAGGGTTCTAGGGTTGCGGGCGGCAAGGGGCTTGCTCAGGGATCATAGGGCTTCGGCTGTGAGCACCCGAAGCAGAATTCTCAGAATCGCACGCCGTTGGGCGGCGGAGGACGATGAAAGCCCTCGCTTGCAACTGCTTGACCATTCTGTGAGTCTTCTCAGCGCATTCAGAGCCACACTGAGGCGCATGCCCTTAGTGGAAGCGACGACCCGCCTCAGCTTTTTGCCAGCGCGCAAGGCCACTGAGGGTGTTCGAGACAGAAGCAGTCCGAGATGACGCAATGAAGGGTGCTGTAGCCCTAAACCCTAAACCCTAAACCCTAAACCCCAAACCCTAAACCCCGACCCCCCAAATCTCCGCTAACTCCCAGCTCACAAGGGACGGGAAACGTGGCCCATGCCCGGGGTTCAACCTAACTGTCAGGTTCTCACACGCCATGTTCTCTCGGCTCTCCAAAACTAGGGTTTAGGGATTAGGGTATTATGGGGAGACCCTTTTTGCGCACCCGAAGTTGCTAAACAGAACGGGGAAGCAAGAAGGGACCAGAACTTCGAGACTGGGCTGGGCATCGTGCCAGTTGGGCTTGGCAGCTGATGGTGCTGCTGGTGGAAGTGCATCACTGGCAGCAAGAAGCTCACGTCCACTGAGAGAGACATGCTCTGGGATGTTCCCCCTTATACTAACAACCCTGAATAATTAGGGATGATAGTACCCCCGATTATAATCCCCATTGAGGACTGTTAGTATAAGGGGGCACATCCCAAGACATGCTCTGCATCTCACGGGCAGCATGGTTAAACTGGAGGCGTGCAATCGGCGCCAGTGGTGGTCGAGACGCTGTGCCTGCGACCTTCAAATCCATGTCGCAGTGCAAAGAGCCAAGCAGGGTTTAGGGTTTAGGGCTTAACGTTCCCTCACAACAGCTTTGGCTGGGGCTAGGTTTGAGTAGAACAAGCCTAAGGGTACCCGGCCTTTCGCCGCATGTCTCCGTTGCTTGTCGGCAAGCGCTGCCATCTGTCAAGACGGTAAACGGCACTCCTCTTTAAATAAACAGATAGAGCAGAATAATAAAATATACAAAGCATCATAGAACACAATACAAAATAATGTTGAGTAGAAAATTTCGCAGATACATAATACAAATAAATATTGCAGATATATAATACAAATTGCATGTGTATATATATATATATATACAATGCATACACACGATAATATCATATAACATCGCATCATCTCATATATACATACATATATATATATATACATTACATTGTATAACGGCCCCTGCGTACCAGTCTCAGCTCCCGACCTGCGTGCTATCGCTCAGGCTCAGGGGATCCTCGGCGTCCCCTGGCGAGGCTGCAAGACATGTAGGGTTTAGGGTTTAGGGTTTAGGGCTCAGGGTTCAGGGTTTAGGGTTTTTTGGGTCTCTTTTTTCTTGTAGTACGGCACCCTTCTGACTAAGGGCCCCTAAACAGGGACAAAGAGGGACCCTTATTTGGAAAAACTACCCATCTACGAAGCTGGGAACCTACGCACACGTAAAGCAGGTTTCTTTACTAACCGCGAAGCCCTGAAACCTTCAGAGTTCTGCCGCGCCTACATCCAGGGGAGACACGCGCCCCATCTTCCGCCCCTGGGCTGCGGCGAGGGGCCCAGAACCAACGGCCTTGACCATCTAAAACTTGAGATCCGAGACCACAAACCCTGAACTCTGATGCCTCGGCGGAGGAAGACCCGAAGATGCTCTTTAGGGCAGCATTCCCGTGCAAGTACCCAGGAATTCGAAAGGACCGGAAAAAAAAAAAGCCCCCAAGCCCTCAACCCTATTCAAGCCGTCGCTTGGCTCAGGCCGCAACGCCAGGAGGCATCGTGAGCGAAATGGGTCTAGAGTCCAGGTCTCCTACAGGTTTAAGATTGAGGGTTCACGGTTTGGGGTTTAGGGTTTATAGGGTTAGGGTTTAGGGTTTAGGGTTGAGGGCAAGGGTTACTCTAAGAGGACCCTGCTAGTTGTTGGAAAACCCCGGGTTTGGCCGCGTTTTCCCTCGCTGTGCGCGCGTGGGAAAAATTCTTCTACCCCGGACCACTTGGAGGTTCAGGGTACTTATAAACCCCAAATAGCACTATACTGTTTCGTCCCCGAAGCCGTCTAAAAATAGGTTCTAAGTAGTCCGGGGTTTTTAAGTACCCGTGAACCTCCAAGCATACAGCACTTGGAAGTCCCTCCAGCGCAGGGGAGGGGGGAGGGGGCAGGGGGCAGGGGAGGGGGAGGGGGTGCTTTAGGGCTGGGTAGTTTAAGGCTCGTAGGCTTGGGAGTTTTGAGGGGCTTAGATTAAGGACTTCGATTAGACTCCAACCACATACAGGGTAGATGCTCCTTGTACCCTCCACGTGGCTCAATCCCCCTAGAACCCAGGGTTTAGGGTTTAGTTTAGGGTTCAGGGTTTAGGGTTTAGGGGCCCTTAAAACCCGAAAACCCTGCGCCCCTGAAAACCCAGGTCCTTCATGGAGGTGTCGGCGGGCAATTCCAGGGTCGGAGGCTGGCAAGGAGCTTAGAGGTTTGGAGTTTGGGGTTTAGGGTTTGGGGTTCAGGGTTTGGGGTTTAGGGTTTATGGTTTAGGGTCTTTCAGGGTAGCGGAGTTCAGAGTTCGGGGAGTTAAGGGTTCAAAGTCCAGGGTTGCTTAGAGCTTCGGGTTGAGGTTTCGGGATCTAGACTTAAAGGCTGGGGTTTAGGTTGGGATGTTCCCCTTCTACTAGCAGTCCTTAATAGGGAGCACAGTGCCCCCGATCGGAATTCCTATTAAGGATTGCTAGCATCAGGGGGAACATCCCAAGGTTTAGGGTTTGAGAGCTGCGGTTCGGGCCTGTTTTGGGGGGGGTTTTGGGCTCCTGAGGTCCACGGGCTCAGTCCCAGCTCTACACACTTGGGTTTAGGGTTGAGGGCTTGGGGCTTAGGGTTTAGGATTTAGGGTTTAGGGCTTGGCCTCAACCCTAAACCCTACCCACGTGCCTCGGCTGGACTTCCGACCTCTGTGCTTCCCAACAGCCTACAGGCTGCAACAGTGGGTTCAGGGTTCAGGGTTTAGGGTTTGGGGTTCAGGGTTTAGGGTTTGGGGTTTAGGGTTTAGGATTTCGGGTTTGGGGTTGGGGGTTTAGGGTCTTGGGGTTCCGGCTCCGACATTTGCACCCCGGCATATGGTGAGTTCCTCAAGTTCGGTCCTTGTCATACCACGGCCCCTCATCTTCAAGCAACCCCAGAGGTAACAGTCCACAATGTCGAGACCATAAGGCCAGAGGGTTATACAAATGAAATTGGGAGCTAGAATATCAGTAGTTCTGAAATGGGCATTAAGGAGTCAGCACCTTATATCCTACAGCCCTTTCGGGAGCCGTGCAGGGAAGCATTCCGGAACTTCCCCCAAACCCAAATTCCTAAACCCTAAACCCTAATTCCTAAATCCTAAACCCTAAACCCAAATTCCTAAACCCAAATTCCTAAACCCAAATTCCTAAACCCCAAACCCTATACCCTAAACCCTGAACTCCCACTGGCCTGACTGGTCCTGCTGTCGGTGCCGGCGGTGGTGCTTCCTTTGCTGCCAGTGCGGCTGCGGCGCCCCTCCTGTGCATGGAGGGGTTCGGGGTTTCCGGTCTGGGGCACGTTTCTGTTTGTCTTTTTGTTCTTTTTGGGGGAGGGAAGGGGAGGTTTCGGGTTTAGGGTTTGGGGTTTAGGGTGGTTTTGGGGGGGGTCTGGTGTGCTTTGGGGTTTGGGAGGTTCAGGGGTTGAGCACGCCGCCTAAACCTTCAAACCCTACACCCTACACCCTAAACCCTAAACCCTAAACCCTAAACCAGGTACGAGCAGACGGCTCGCCTCCAACTGGTGGGGCATCACCGGGGCTTCGTCGTCGGAACCTGCAGTCGCCCACCCGATCCTATAAGCCCTAGGCCCTAAACCCTAAACCCTAAACCCTAAACCCTAAACCCTAAACCCTCCACCAAACAGACCCAGGCCTTGCCCCGGGTCTGCAGCTTCTCGCAGAGCCTCCTCTCGCTCTTCCCTCTCGCGCCTCCTCTGCTCCGCCTGCAAGAGGGGTTTATAGGGTTTAGGGTTTAGGTTTTAGGGTGTTAGGGTTCAGGGTTCAGGGTTTAGCGTTTTTAAAGCCCGATAAGAGCCCTACAAGTACCCTATGAACTTCGGGGTTTGGGCTCTTTAGGGTTTCTAAAGCCCGATAAGAGCCAATAAGTACCCCATGAACCCTGGGGGTTTGGGCTCTTTAGGGTTTTTAAGGCCCTATAAGAACCCGAATACGTACCCTATGAACCCTAGAGACCCTATGAGCCCCCCATGGACCGTATGCCCTAAACCCTCAAGGTATGAACCCTACCCCGCAAGATAAGAGCCCGGCTCGCTCATAGACGATCCGATCCGCCGTGGTGGCCTGGCAATGCGCGATACAGGATTTCCAGAGCCCGAAAGGGAAAGAGTGGGTAAAGACAACGTTTGGGGAGTGTTGTAGTGGGCTACGGGGAGGGGGCAGTGGGGAAGTGGGTTGCCCATCCTGAACGAGAAAGGGGGTGCAAACCCCCTTCCTTCGGGAAACGTTCCTTCAACCATATTTGGATCCCGTTGCCAACCCGAATCCCGCGTTTTAAACCCCAAACCCTCTGGGTTTCTGCCCTAAAAATTCCTCAACCCTAAGCCCTAAACCCTAAACCCTGAACCAGAAACCCTCTGAGCTTGTGCCCCAAAACAAAAAAGGCCCACCTTCTCGATGTCGTCATGTCCAGGGCCAAGCTTGAGCGGGATCTGGGAACAGCGTCGCGTCGCTGGGGGGTTTAGGGTTTAGGGTCTAGGGTTCTTGGGGTTTTGGGTTTAGGGTTCTTGGGGTCTAGGGTTCTAGGGTTCTCGGGATTTTGGGTGGGGGTTTAGGGTTCTTGGGGTTTGGGGTTTAGGGTTTAGGGGCTCAATTTAGGGCTTTCGGCTTAAGTTCTGAGGCTTCAGGGTACGCACTCCACTAAGGTGGCACTGCGGTTGAGGGTTTAGGGTTTAGGGTTTAAGGTTTAGGGTTTAGGGTTTAGGGTTTAGGGTGGTTGGTCCATTATCCCCTCTTAACTAAGGAAGACGCCCTGGCCCTGCACGATGTTAGGATGCTGAATACGATTCAAGGCATGCACTCAAAGCCCTTAACCTTGAACCCTAAACCCTAAACCCGCTCAGGATCTTGCTATAGCTTAGAAGGAGGTTCCATCATGAACCCCAAGCCCTACACCCCCCAACCCTAGTGAAGGGGCCTTGCAGGCCGAACCGGGCTTTAAGTGGCCCATGAAAAACCTCGAACGGCTGCGACGCAGCGCCCCTCAGAGTTCGCCTCAATCTACCCTCGCAGGCCCCGCACAGCTGTGACAATAACCCAAACCTTAAACCCTTAAACCCTCAACCCGGCCAAGTGCTACGGTACACCCGCGAAAATTTCCGCCACTGTTCTGACGGATTCCGCACTATGTCGACCGGCAACCCTATGTTGATTGAACGTATGGCACATGAACGGTGCTGATCTTGTATCTCCGCCGCACTGCTTTGTTCAGAAAGGGTAGACCGAGGCTTTGGTAGGGTCGAGGGTTTTATGCTTTGTGTTTAGTTTAGGGTTACCTAAATTGGAATGTACCTAAAGTCTAGAGTCTAGATGTAGTCTATGCTGAAAACCACCTTTATTTTACGTACGCCTAACACCACAAGCTTTAGCCCTAAACCCCAAATCCTGAACCCCAAAAAACACCCTAAGCCTTCAATTAGGGGTTACTAGGTACCTAAGATTAAGGGTCCCCTCTAGGGGTCCTCCTTGTATAAACCCTAAACCCAAAACCCCTGAATTCAACCTAAACGAGCACTGGCAAGGGTCCCGGCCGCTATCAGCAACCAAAGGTCGCGTCGATTCCTGTCAGCTGCTCGTGACCCCTGAAGCCCTAAACCCTAAACCGTAAGCCCTAAGCCCTGAGCCCTAAGCCCTAAGCCCTAAGCCCTAAGCCCTAAGCCCTAAACCCTAAACCCTAAACCCTAAACCCTAAACCCTAACCCACCTCTTGGGGTCGGGTTTGGGGGCTTAGGGTTTCTGATTCGCCCTCCTGACGGCATGCACCCTGAGACCCTACAGCTTGAAATCGATCAACCCCAAATCCAGAACCTGGCTTGCGCCTTACTTCAAACCCTAAACCCTAAACCCCTAAACCCTAAACCCTAAACCCCTAAACCCCTAAACCCCTAAACCCCTAAACCCTCACCCTAAACCCTAAACCCTAAACCCTAAACCCCTATAGACCCCTAAACCCTAAGCAGGGGTACTTCGGTATGGGCCCAGGAGTGCGACTTGGCGTCCTCCACGTGAAGGCGCAGACGCCCGTGCACAGGCCAAAGAGGATGATGCCTCCACGCCAAGGAAAGAGGTCTAGGGTTGCTTGGGGGTTTAGGGTTTAGGGTTTAGGGTTTAGGGTTTAGGGTTTAGGGTTTAGGGTTTAGGGTTTAGGGTTTAGGGTTTAGGGTTTAGGCACGGCAAGAGGCTTCGGGGCCTTGGGGGGTTAAGGGTTCAGGGTGAGATTTTGCGGGTTTTAAAAGTTAGGGTTCTCAACCCCCCTAGGAAACATAGGCATCACCTTCTGGCCGCAAACTCTTGCTCGAGTACGGGGCGGTGAGCCTTCCTGTGAGACTGTTGTGGGCTGTCCACGGCAACAAGTTGATATGGACTCCGGCCTACCACAACAAGCAAGATGTACTCATTGTGGACCACGTTTTCACCTGCAACAGCCATTGAACTGACAGTGGCCAGCTCCACCCCTCTTCAATCATAGGGGGGATGGGGGGGGGTGGGGGGGTCGACCCCCATCTCCTCCTGTCAACGCGAGCCTGCCATCCAGATTCTTCAAGAATCGACGACAGGGACCTGCAATGATCACAACTGTTGCGATTGATGGGCCTTCCGTGCAATCACTGGGATAGTGGCGTCAGAAGTGATCGGCTGCAGCGGCCATTGCGCAATGCCGTGCAGTCTAGGCAGCTTGGAATGAAGATGTTTCGAGAAGGAGTCCGAGCGGGCTGTCTCGCGTGGCTTGTAGCAAGGTATTGAAGCTGGATCTGCACAAGTTGCACCGGTTCAGCGTGGTGAACTTGACTTGCACCGCATGTCTAAAGTTAAAGGCTTGCAGCCCGAACAAGGACGCAATCTCAAAAATGCAGGAACTTGGAACGCTAACCCTAAACCCTACACCCTAAACCCGAAACCTGAAACCCTAAACCCTAAACCCTCTGTGTCAGTGTCAATGATGTTCCCTGCAGGGCCGCACTTGCACGTCACATCAGTGACAGCCACGTCCACATCGCCGTTGGGTAGGGAGAGGCCCGTGAAGAATGAGCCAAAGACAGAGACCTTCAGGGTTTAGGGTTTAGGATTTAGGGTTTAGGGTTTAGGGGTTGTCACCAGAACGAACTGCCATGATGCAGCAGCGAACAGCTGCCTAGTAGGCTGACTTGCAAGGCCCGCACCTTGCAGCCTGGCCACAAGGCCTTGCATGCATCTTTAATGGTCTGCACCTGGACAACATCACAGGTGCCGAAGCGGGAAAGGTGAGAACATGTGAGAACAAGCTTGCGCCCGCATCATTGGGGCATTATGGCGAGCAAGTAAGCAGCGCACCCATCTTCGCCGAGCATTTACCTGCAAACATAGACTGGTCGAACACTCACACATGCTCATCCCACATTACATGCATCTATCTGCGCGCCGTATATCCGCCTCCTCTTGAGTATGCTGCATGAAATCGACGAAATCTAAGATCTCCTCTCAGGAGGGGCAGCTCTGGCACAGCCAAGCTCTCTGAACGACGCAGATGGAGCGGGCCTCGTGCAATCGGAGGACCTGGCAGCAACAGCGTGGCTTAGGAGCCCTCAATTAGGGTTTAGGGTTTAGGGTTTAGGGTTTAGGGTTTAGGGCTTAGGGCTTAGGCTTCTGGGTTTTGGGAGGCAAACAATCGCAACATGCAAGGGTGCCGCGTTGTCGATGTATGGCCGCGGCACAAACCTTGAAAGACTCAAAGCGCCCCGGTCGACGTCGAAACTTTTCGTTTAGGGTTTAGGGTTTAGGGTTTAGGGTTTAGGGTTTAGGGTTTAGGGTTTAGGGTTTAGGGTTTAGGGAAATACTGTACTTAATATAACCCAAATATAACCATGTTGGGGCACTTTAGGGGCAGATAAGTGGGTTATCAGTACAATTGTAATTGGTTAAGAAGTACCATGCACCTCCAAGTATTAATTCTGATGCGATCTTACTACATTCATGACCTTACTGTGCTATTATAGTATTTGATTGTCATATTTTGTATCATATCATGATGTGGCTCTATTCCTTTCTTATTACTAGTGTTATATTGCATAAGTTTATGATGTCTCCAAGCGGCCATGGGGGCTGGCCCTCTTCCGCCACTGCCCTTCTTGAAGGGAAGCTCTTCGCGGCGGTGACACCCATGAATGCCTCCGCGCTTTAGGGAGTTTAGAGAATTTAGGGAGTTCAGGGAATTTCGGGAGTTTACAGAGCTCAGGGTTTAGGGAATTTAGGCAGCTTGGGGTTTTGGGGGAGCTTAGGGTTCAGGGTTTCAGGAATTTACGGCTTAGGGTTGGGCACCCCACTATAATCTAGACGTAGACCTACCAGTACACATGCCTGAAACTTGAGGCCCTGAATCCTACAATCGTGGGCTGACTCCTAAACCCTCAACCCTAATGCCTGAACCCTAATCCCTAACCTAACCCCTAAACCCTGAGCCCTGAACCCTGAACCCTAAATCCTAAATCCTAAGCCCTAAACCCTAATCCCTAAACCCTAATCCTTAAACCCTAATCCCTAAACCCTCAACCCTCAACCCGAGCCCTGATTCCTGAACCCTGCAAAACCTCGGGCAATTCCGCGGCTGGTTCTTCGCGCGGCTCTTCCCGGCCTCTTCTTGGGGGTTTTTGGGGGTTTTGGGGTTCTTGGGGTTTTGGGGAGCTTTTGGGGTTTTTTGGGTTTTTGGGGTTTTTGGGGCTTTGGGGGGTTTGAGGGGTTTAGAGGGTTAAGAGGTTTGGGGAGGACAGGGATTTAAGGGTTGGGGGCTTAGCGTGTCTAAGCATAGGGTCTAGGGTTTGGTAAGGGGGTTTAGGGGTTCTGGGGTCTTGTGGGCAGGGTGCGGGCTTGAGGGCGTACGTTTAGGGTTCAGGACTTATGGTCTAGACGCTGAACGCTTACATGTCAGGTTTAGGGCTTGAAGGCCTAGGCCCTTGTCCACAGCATGAGCCTACGTTTCTTATGGTTGATCAACCTCTTGGGTTTGGGGTTTAGGGTTTGGGGTGTTGGGGGTTGAGGGTTTAGGGCTTAGGGCTTAGGGTACACGGTGCGTCAAGCTTCTCAATGGGGCCGGCTCTACGGGTCTTCCTCTGCCTGAGCCGAGGTCGGTGTTTAGGTGTATTGGGCTCAGGGGCTTCAGAACCTCTAAGGTCTAGGGTCTAGGGTCTAGGGTTTAGGGTTTAGGGTTTAGGGTTTAGGGTTTAGGGTTTAGGCCACATGACGCCTTGGTTAAAGCCTTCTAGCATGCTGAGCAGCGCACGCTTTCGCAGGAGCGATCGCATCGTTGCATTTCGCTCTGCCTGAGGGAGCAGCTGTCAGGCAGTCCATCGGTCACCAGAATGGAAAGAGCCCTCGCCTGCTCCGCGTTCCTTTCTGCGTCCTCCTCGATGAGGGCCGCATCCTCACCAAAACCCATCAAACATGCCACAAGGCGGACCCCCAACCCTAAACCCCACACCCTAAACCCTAAACCCTCATCAAATGAAAGTTCTGTACATTGCCGTCCCTTTCGGGATCGTGCAATTCAACTGTGAAGTTTTAGACAAACGACTACTCGAAGCTTCAAGGGGGCTGAGGGTTTAGGGTTTAGGGTTATTCACTTTCGACCTGGTACCCAGTCGAACAGACACTGCTTGCAAACTCCCAAAACCTTCAACCTGACAAACCCTCAACCCTGAAGTCTATAGCACTGCAAACCTGACCGTAAACCCCCCGGCTCTTGTCCTGAACACACCCTATCACGCGTAACCACCCCCGAAAGCCCTTTAAACAGGCTTCCCAGCTTCTTCACCACCCTACCCTAAACCCTAAACCCTAAACCCTAAACCCTAAACCCTGAACCCTAAACCCTAAACACCATCCCGGGCCTCTTCGCGGAGCCATCCTGGTCTCGAGGGTTCAGCGGCCTCACCATGGACTTCGGGGGCTTGCTGCTTAGGAACGCAAGAGGGGGTAGGGGGGGTAGGGTAGGGGGGTAGGGGTGGGGGGGCAGGGGGGGTAGAGTAGGGGGGGCAGGGGGGGGGTAGGGGGGGTAGGGGGGGAGGGGGGGGAGGGGGGGTAGGGGGGGGGGGGGGAGGGGGGGGAGGGGGGGTAGGGGATTAGGATTTGGGAGTGGCTTGCGGACAGTTCGCATCTCACGATGTTGCAACCCACGAGGTGTCCGCGCGGCCTCGAAGCCATCGAAGGAATCGAAGCACTCCATGGCAACAGGTTGGGATTACTAGATGCCAAAGCAGCTACGACATCGGCTGCTTCCTTCTTATTGTGTTGCACATGTGCCATTGCGCACATGAACAGGGGCGCAACAACGTCGGGACTTTGACTGCTTGGTATGGCGAGGTATGAAGTTGTCGGAGTCGATACCATCCTCTCAGATCCTCTGAGGATCGTGCCCCCGACCAGCAATCGAGCACCTTAAACCCTAAATCCTAAACCCTAAACCCTAAACCGTTATCTTTTGCATTCGCTGGGCCTTGTCCTGCCTTGCCTCCCCTTGTCTCCAAATGGCCACATCAACTGGTGAACAGACAGACGCAAAAGCAGTCATCAACACCCTACATGAAGTAGGGCTGCTATTTCTAAAAGTATCCCCAATAAGACACCTAATATGAACATGCACCAATATTGATGAGGAATCCTGTACACACTCAGCAAGAACGGATATACAAAGCCTGTTTCATATCTAGCCTGAAAGCCTAGAATTGCCATGTCAGAGCGAGCCAAGTGGGTGGCGCATGCCCCATGGGCCTGTGAAAACTCGCAGGGTCTCGCACTCACTAGGAGTTGATCTAAATGGCCTCAAGCTTAAGGTTCAGGGTACCAAAAAAAAAAGGGCATGATTGATTGAACTCGGGCTTGATTCGACAAGGCCTTGCACACTGACCACAAAGCAAAACTCCAGCTCTTCAAACACTTCATCAAACTTGCTTGTCGCAACATTGTGTGGGGACTCATTTCCTGTTGTTTAACGCGCATGGCTCCGGATCCGGTCAAGGCCATCATAGGCACGGTGGCAGCAGAGCACAGCTCTGCTCGGTATCTCTTGCTGAAAGGCACTCCCGCGTCTTTCACGGGCTGCGATGAATGTTGGGAGCGGCAGGATCGTGGGGCTCGCGCTGTGCCCCTCCTGCTGGCCAAGCGATCCTCAAACAAAGAATGTTTCAGGTTTGTTGTGGTCGTTCCAGTCAACAACTGGAGATCATACCTTGAGACCCCGCTGGGGATGCACGTGGGCCGCGCCAGATTATTTATTGAGATCATGCCCGGGGTGGGTCACGAAGGTGGTGGATGCTGCAAGCACAGCTGCCTTGCTGGACTTCATCAACAAGCCCACGGGGCTTCGCAGATGGACCTGGACCTTACTATTGCATCTATTGCTACGGTCTGACAGCGTCAAAGTTAACGAACAGACTCGGAATGGGCAAGGGGTTGGAAGACAAGAACAAGGACACCCCAGACAGCGGCAAAGGAGGTGGCCGAACCCGCAGGTAAACGAACAGCCAATCAAGCCTTCTCCCGTTCACAGGCATCTAGCCCTCCTTGAGACCCTGCGAATGCCTGAGCCATGCCAAAGCAACACAGATTGCGGGATTGGAGTTGTGCTGAATGCATGCATTGGTGTCAAGCAAGAGCTTGGTGCCAAATGGCACAGGCAGAAGCACACAAACGCCCACCGACACATGTAAGCCAATTTCGGCACACACGGGGGCAGCATATCTGGACAGAGGTGATCACAGAGGCAGGCCGCGGAGGAAAAGGAAAGAGCAACTTCAAGGCGGAGGCCAAGGTCTCATAGAATAGAGGAGCCAGAGTCAGCGAAACAGCCGGCCTCTCGAAGTTCCCCACCTTAAGACAAGGCTGCAGAGGTGAAGCCTCCAGTTTTGAAACAGCTCTGCAGGTCCAAGGGTCTCCTCCCATTATGCCTCTTAGGAAAAAACATGGCGGGGGATGCAAACCCACCTGGCCATGGGTTTCAAAGCATGCGCTTGACTCCTGCTGGAGCCGGAGTCAAGAGGCTGGGCGCTTAGTCAGACAGCGTAGGTGTCAAGGCAGGCCACAAAGCAGAACATGTAGGCCGGAGCAAACCAGTTTCGGGTTGAGACACGCCCTCCGTCTTTCGATAGATTGCCATATCGCGGTCACAGACACCTGCCACCCGTGCAGGCAGCTTGCAGAGCACAGCCCCTGAAGCGCTGTGCAGCCAGCGCTGTGACTAAGATGGCAAGGGTTGCGAGCTATGGGGCCGGATATGGGGGGTTTCCGAAAATAGGGTGGAGCAAGGAGCCTGGTGTGCCAGAAGCAACGCCGTGTGTAAGACCGCGGCGGTGTCTGAAGCCTCCGTTTGAAGCAGTTCTAAGGGCATGCTGCGATCGGATACCCATATACCGGCCCCAACTGGATCATGAAGTGGCAGCCCAGCTTGTCTTCAACTTAGTGAGGCAGCACAGGTGTCAAGAAAGTGCCTAGCGCCAAGCTGTCAAGGCACAGGCCCGAAAACACCGGCATGGGTGAGACAATGCCGGCGTCTGCACTGTCCAGACCACAGACCCAAGTTTAATTGGATGAAGGAGGAGTCACTGCTTGGTGGCAAATCGGGTTGTAGCATGGCATTGCCATGGCCGGGACTGCCAAGGCCATCGTGGGCACGGCGCGCGCGCGGCGCAAAGCCGCAAGGTGCAGTCGCGGACCCCAAGCGCCACGCAAGGTATTGTGCAGGCGCAGCAGTATCTCCGGCGCACGGAAGAGGACAGGGGATGCGGCAGATGCAGCGGCTGCAACCACGAGCAGAAATAGGGGCGTGACATGGCGCGCACGCACGGCGTTAAGGCAGAAGACCGACCCTCCACACAGCTTCGGCACACTTTCTCTACAGCGTCTGGTGAAGAAAATCAGGATGACGGGAAAGCAACGCCCATGTGCAGCGGCATCGGGAGGTGTATCGGACAGCCATGCTGGTATGCCTCAAAAGAAAGGAGAAAAACCAGCACCTAAAATGAAGGAGCCGGGCTTGACCCGAGGAGTGGCCGGGCACAGCACAACTGGTCTTAGTCTTACAAGTAGTGGCAGCACAGTCAAGAAAGAGCCTGACGCCGAGGCCCACCAATGCCTACCCGCGTCTGCAATCCAATGGCGGCATCTACACTGCCCAGACTGCAGAGATCAAGCCGTCGATGAGGGTAAGCCTCAAACGCAAGAGTATTTATGGTCAAGACCAGGGCATATGTGTAGAATTTCGGAACCGGTGAACACTTGCGGGGCAAGTGGCCTGGCCTCGCGTCCAAGGGATTATGACTTGATCCTGGAAGACGCAGGCTGATGCAGGAGGTGAGGCTGCGACGGGTGAAGCGAAATTAAAGCTGTGAGGCCGAGATGCAAGGCAGTGCGGAAGTGGAGCCGCGGAGACGCTCAGCAACGAAACCGACGAGGGCTGCGTTCAGGATCGGGCAAGAAAACTTGAAGGCGGACCATGTCATAAAGGCACATCAAATTGGGGTCACGGATTTCAAGGACAGAAGTGAGGGAAGGCTGTCCCTTTCGCAACAATGCGGCCCATGTGGCACCGCGTCCTGCGTTCTGCGAGCCCTGGGGGTGGTCTATGAAGGGCAGAGCTAGTCGCGCTTATGAAAGGGAACATCCTCCTGCGAACCTGGGATGGCTCTACGAACTTAGCAGAAGGTTGGCAGGGTTAGTCGAAGGGTATGGCTCTGCGAAAACTGCGCTCGGTGCTTGATGTGCTTCCATTCTCTTTGCTTATAGGCTCATCTCCCCGTGTCCGCAGCACTGGGCGAGGTGTTGCGATGCCAGGGAACAAGAGGGAGTTGAGGTGAAGACGTGGCCGAGCTGGGCCTCGCCGGCATTCGCCTGCTGTAACATCGCAACCTGAACGGAGCTTTGAGAAGTGGGCCGCGTCATTGTGAGTTCCCAGGTCGATACCAAGACGGGAGCCTGCCTCTACCCTGGCCAGCGCAGACGGCCTGAAACAACACAACCTGCTGAACCGTGCCAAGCCTTGGCCCATTCGAAAGTCCATGAGGGACATATGGGCTCCCAGCCCCCAAAGGACTGCAGCAGGGGGCCTTGACCTACAAGAGACTTGACGCAAGCGCAAAGTGGGACCAGGAGTGGTCAGACACCCAGAGAATCTGCTGGGCAAGTTAAAGGGACCCACGTCCGAGCCGCTTGCTCCCCGAAGAGCAGAGCTGGGACTGGCTGTACTTCTAGCAAGAAGCTCGCGCATGCTCACGACAACTTCAGCACCCAACGTTGCTGCGGCGGACTGCCGCTGTCGCACGCGCGGCTGTCGCGAGTGTGGCACGCGCAACGTACTAGAGATGTGAGGTCGAGATGCGGACAACCGGTGCTGGGCAAGGCGGTGGGGAAGCGGAGCCGTCCTGGAAGCTATCAGGCACTGAAGCGGACAGCGGCTGCGACAGCCAAGAGCCAGAGGCCGCCCACGACAGGGCAAAAAGAGTCGAAGCCCAAGTAGGACCAAGGCAACGTCTGTGCCTGCCAAGATTGTGGGAGTGGCGCATGCGGTGCACGCAGCGCAAAGGTGGAAGGCAGAGTCGCGGAGCCCAAGCGTCAAGCAAGGCATTGCGCAAACGCAGCGCGGAGAAGGGTATCTCTCAGGCACGAGAGCAGGCGGCGCATGCGGTGGCTTAAGGCAGGCTTCGAGGCAGACAACTGCCGGCTGCATGAAGTACGGACTTGGTATTGGCCAATCCGTCTGCTGCGTCTTCTGAAGGTGGCGCAGGTCCGTCTGCGGCCATTCCCCCCGGTTGCTCTGGTGAGTACTGGGTTTGAACAGGAGGATCATCGCGGATTTTCGGCCGATCCCTTGAAGAACTGCATGCACATCAATGTCGAGAATGATGCCGGGCAGCCCGTTCAGGCCCCTCTTGTGACGGAGTGAACTTGTACCATCGCCAGTCAGTGCAAAGGCGACAGCAGCGGCAGTGAGAGCGAGAGTGCTGGACGTGTGAGCAGGGGTACTTGGAAGCCCTCTTGACTTAGTGAGAAGGGTTCGATGGGTTTTGGGGATCATACTTCTAGGAGGTACTAAGTAGACTCACTAAGTCACAAGACCTTCCAAGTAAGAGGCTGGGATGTCCACTCTGCAAGCTTGTCTGCAAGGTTGACATGCTGCGCTTGCGCTTGCATCAAAGCAGAAGCCCGACGCAGCTTCCCCACAACAGCGCGAGTCCGCGTGTGACCACGGGAACTGAGGCGGAGATCGGCACCGGGGAAGGCATTGACGCACACAGGTCAGGATGACACTGCTGTTGGGAAGGAGAGCCGTGTACTGGCACCGAAGCGGAAGGGCGTTCTCGAGCCAAAAGCCCGAGTGAGAACCAGAGCCACCACATCCCTGACCCCCCACAAGACCCGAACCTCAAAGAAACCTCGCTTGGCAGCGCTCACGAGACAGGCCTCAGCCTCGGCAATGATAACCTGATCTTCAGCTGGCAGGAAGTTTTGGGGAGTCCGGGCTGGCTGAGGCGGCTCAGGCTAAGACTTTGCCGATCCAAGCCTCACATAGCCTCACCGTCGACTTCTCGCGGGGGCTTTCGGGCGCCCAGTCCACAGCCTAAGAGCTCGTGCATGCTCACGTCAACTTCAGCACCCAACGTTGCTGCGGCGGATTGCCGGTGTCGCACGTGCGGCTGTCGCGAGTGTGGCACGCACAACGTACTAAAGATGTGAGGCCGAGATGCGGACAACCGGTGCTGGGCAAGGCGGTGGGGAAGCGGAGCCGTCCTGGAAGCTATCAGGCACTGAAGCGGACAGCGGCTGCGACAGCCAACCGCCCACGACAGGGCAAAAAGAGTCGAAGCCCAAGTAGGACCAAGGCAACGTCTGTGCCTGCCAAGATTGTGGGAGTGGCGCATGCGGTGCACGCAGCGCAAAGGTGGAAGGCAGAGTCGCGGAGCCCAAGCGTCAAGCCAGGCATTGCGCAAACGCAGCGCGGAGAAGGGTATCTCTCAGGCACGAGAGCAGGCGGCGCATGCGGTGGCTTAAGGCAGGCTTCGAGGCAGACAACTGCCGGCTGCATGAAGTACGGACTTGGTATTGGCCAATCCGTCTGCTGCGTCTTCTGAAGGTGGCGCAGGTCCGTCTGTGGCCATTCCCCCCCGTTGCTCTGGTGAGTACTGGGTTTGAACAGGAGGATCATCGCGGATTTTCGGCCGATCCCTTGAAGAACTGCATGCACATCAATGTCGAGAATGATGCCGGGCAGCCCGTTCAGGCCCCTCTTGTGACGGAGTGAACTTGTACCATCGCCAGTCAGTGCAAAGGCGACAGCAGCGGCAGTGAGAGCGAGAGTGCTGGACGTGTGAGCAGGGGTACTTGGAAGCCCTCTTGACTTAGTGAGAAGGGTTCGATGGGTTTTGGGGATCATACTTCTAGGAGGTACTAAGTAGACTCACTAAGTCACAAGACCTTCCAAGTAAGAGGCTGGGATGTCCACTCTGCAAGCTTGTCTGCAAGGTTGACATGCTGCGCTTGCGCTTGCATCAAAGCAGAAGCCCGACGCAGCTTCCCCACAGCAGCGCGAGTCCGCGTGTGACCACGGGAACTGAGGCGGAGATCGGCACCGGGGAAGGCATTGACGCACACAGGTCAGGATGACACTGCTGTTGGGAAGGAGAGCCGTGTACTGGCACCGAAGCGGAAGGGCGTTCTCGAGCCAAAAGCCCGAGTGAGAACCAGAGCCACCACATCCCTGACCCCCCACAAGACCCGAACCTCAAAGAAACCTCGCTTGGCAGCGCTCACGAGACAGGCCTCAGCCTCGGCAATGATAACCTGATCTTCAGCTGGCAGGAAGTTTTGGGGAGTCCGGGCTGGCTGAGGCGGCTCAGGCTAAGACTTTGCCGATCCAAGCCTCACATAGCCTCACCGTCGACTTCTCGCGGGGGCTTTCGGGCGCCCAGTCCACAGCCTAAGAGCTCGTGCATGCTCACGTCAACTTCAGCACCCAACGTTGCTGCGGCGGATTGCCGGTGTCGCACGTGCGGCTGTCGCGAGTGTGGCACGCACAACGTACTAAAGATGTGAGGCCGAGATGCGGACAACCGGTGCTGGGCAAGGCGGTGGGGAAGCGGAGCCGTCCTGGAAGCTATCAGGCACTGAAGCGGACAGCGGCTGCGACAGCCAACCGCCCACGACAGGGCAAAAAGAGTCGAAGCCCAAGTAGGACCAAGGCAACGTCTGTGCCTGCCAAGATTGTGGGAGTGGCGCATGCGGTGCACGCAGCGCAAAGGTGGAAGGCAGAGTCGCGGAGCCCAAGCGTCAAGCAAGGCATTGCGCAAACGCAGCGCGGAGAAGGGTATCTCTCAGGCACGAGAGCAGGCGGCGCATGCGGCGGCTTAAGGCAGGCTTCGAGGCAGACAACTGCCGGCTGCATGAAGTACGGACTTGGTATTGGCCAATCCGTCTGCTGCGTCTTCTGAAGGTGGCGCAGGTCCATCTGCGGCCATTCACCCCGGTTGCTCTGGTGAGGACATGGGGCGCTCGTGCCTTGCATCAAAGACGCAGCCTCCCCACAGCATTGAGAGTCCGCGTTTGATCACAGAGCCACAACTGGCAAAAGACCTAGCGCGGAGGCGCAAATCGGCGCCGGGGAAAGCCTTGACGCATACAGGTCAGGATCTAGCTGTCGTTGGGAAGGAGAGCCGTAGGCGACACCTACTGGCACCATAGCGGAGGGCTTTCGAGCCAGGCTTTACGATGGAAGATGACGGAAGCTGATGATGGCTTCTGGGCAGCTCCCCAGCTCGAGTGAGAACTAGAGCCACCACATCCCTGACCAGAGCGTTCAAGGCCTCAGCCTCTTTGATGAGAACTTACTCCACAGCTGGCGGGACACCTTGCGCAACCCAGGCTGGCTGTTAACTTTGCCTGCCACAGTTCTCGTACGAAGGATCACCTTGAAGGCCAAGTGCAGCAAAACCCAGCAAGGCAATGAATGCTGCGGACATGACCGTGCGAGCGGGCACAGCAGGGTCCTAGCTCAGAACGCAGTGCTGCAAAAGGCCGGACAGTGGGCAAAGCGGCACCAAAGCCGGGATCGGCGTTGCTTAGAGTTCAGGGTTTAGGGTTTCAATGCTGGTGCGGCGCATCTTCAGGAGTCCAGGTTTGAAGCAGCGGAGCACTGGGCTGTGCTAGGCATCAGTGTACAGTCTACCCGTCCAAGCCTCCTTGCAAGCAAAGCAGGCAGGAGGCTGCAGAATCCAAGCCGGAAAGGCTTCTCTGGATTCCCTGGACTCACCTGAACTCGGGCTCAACGCGTTGTGGGCGAGATTCGGGAACTTTGCGAAACATCCTTCTAAGGGGCATGGTCAGATGAATGCAGCTTAAGCACAATATTCGGAGTCATCGGAGATAGGCAGTCAGCGTCGGATGGCCTGTCGAGCCCAAGGAAGTGCACTCTCTGTGCAAATGGCATGGTGGCATACCCTTGCAATCAAAAAACATCGCCCGGCCTGCGGCGGCCAGAGGCGGGGAACTGCAAAGCTACTACGTGGATCTACCTACCACGTTGAGCCTTCAGGCCTCGCGCGGTTTTACTCGTGTCTGCACAAGACGGATTGCAAAGGCGTACTCAAGATATGGAGGGTACTCAAGATAGAGGCATTCCGTCAATGCACCATGCCGCACCACAGCTCGCGCTCTTGAGACTTTTCTCTCTAGCCATCAGTCGCCGCAGAGACCTGCTCACGAAGCTTTGCGACCTGCAGCGGGCATCAACTTTGGTAGGGTTTGGGGTTAAGGGTTTTGGGTTTTGGGTTTTGGGTTTTGGGTTTAGGGTTTAGGGTTTAGGGTTTAGGGTTTTGGGTTTAGGATGTTGGGTTGGGGGTTGAGGGTTTAGGGTTTAGGGCTTAGGGTTTGGGGTTTGGGGTTTAGGGTGCGTCTGAGCATGCGACCTGCTCACGAAGGCGCCGGAGTAGCGGGTCTTCCGCCTTGAGCTTAGGGTTTAGGGGGTTTAGGGTTTAGGGCTTAGGGTTTAAGGTTTGTTTACGGCTAAAATTTCCAAGGTTTCACGATGTGCGAAGGCCCGAGGCTTCGACCACATCCGGGGCCGGCCCGGCCGAAGACTCTGCCTGCTCTCCGTGTTAGTGGGGTTTAGGGCTTGGGTTTGGGTGAAGGGTTTAGGGTTTAGGGTTTAGGGTTTAGGGTTTAGGGTTTAGGGTTTAGGGTTTAGGGCTTAGGGCTTAGGGTTTAGGGTTTAGGGTTTAGGTTCAAAAGCTGCTCCAAATTTCTGAGCCATCCGCATAGCCCTTGCTGTCGGCCCTCAGCACAAGATGCAGAGGTAAGACCGCTGTGTTCAGGAGACAACGCTAGATGGCCATATGGAGGTCCCAAGCCAGAGTCCCTTATGAAAGCCTGGTTCTACAAAGATTCCTTACACGGAGGTCCTCAGAACACCCCAAACCCTAAACCGTAAACTGTAAACCCTAAACCCTAGACCCTAAACCCTAACCCTAAACCCTAAGCCCTAAACCCTAAACCCCAAAGAAAGCTTCGGCCGAGCGCATGACTTGGCCATCTCACGGCGGTTGGCCAAGAGGGATTGGTTCAGCTCTTTGACGAAGCCTCAACTGCTATTTGCTTAAAAACCCCAAAAGAATTTAAACACAAAAAAACAATCCCAATATATATTGCCCTTAACAAGGAAGAATATGTGTTTTAATTTTTTTGGGGGGGGGCTCTTAAGCAATTAGTAGTCAAAAGTCACTCTCTCAGCCGATCCAGGTCCAACCTCCCAAAATGCGGTGGTTACGAAAGTAGGGGATCCCGAAAATAGACCTCAAGTAGTAAGACTCCCATACAATAAGGACCCAACAAGGTACCCCCAAATTTCGGCAACCCCCCAAAAAATAGCAACCCTGGCAACCCTACGCCCCCCCAAAGCCTAAACCCCGTTCCGCTAAGCTCGCGGCCCAGCTGTTCATGAGCTTCTGCCAAACTGCGCTGCGCCGCCGTAACCTGTTTCTCAAGCACCTGAGCCACGAAACCAGGAGCCTTAGGGGGTTTTTTATGGGGGTCATGTAGGGGCTACTGAAGTTTAGTAAGGACTGTAGAACCCTAAACCCTGAAAGGCCCTGGAATCCTGAGTCTCCCAATGAACTCCAAGCGTCTCAGCCCATCAGCTGGCAGTCTACCGTAGTATGGAGCCGTGTAGGCCCTAGAACAGGGCCCCACCTCTATGTTGGTGCAATGTACTAGAAGAAACATACTGGAAAAGAGACCCCCCCCCACCCACCGATTTTGACGCCCAAAATCCAATGTGTCCGTGCCTTTTGGTTCAGCTCTTCACAATGTGCTCTCCAATGTCGAGTCTATTTTGGGGACCCCTATACCCTAAACCCCTCAGTAGAGTGCCTTACTGCAACGATCACCCGTTTAGAGAACTGCCCATGTCTTGGCGATCCCTGGGTTGATTGTTTTGGGCTTCGGGTTTTCCAACCCGAAGGGTTTAGGGTTTAGGGTTTAGGGTTTCGGGTTTAGGGATGACAGGATCCGTGGGCCTTCTTGTGCTTCTCTGCGGCTTCCACCTCCTCCTGACAACGAGGATGCTGAGGTTAGGTCATAGGGCCCTAATGCCCGAATGTAGTCCCTGATTCCCGAAAGCCTATGAACCTCTAAGTACACTGTTCTGCTTGACTAGTGAAAGCTAGGGAGCGTTGGGGAGCAGTGGGGAGTATGAGGCTCCCGTAAGAACCCTATAAACCTTCCATGGTCCCAGAAGTCCGGCAGGCCACGAAGCATTGCGGTAGGGTTTAGGGTTTAGGGTTGAGGGTTGAGGGTTGAGGGTTGAGGGTTTAGGGTTTAGGGTTTAGAGTTTAGGGTTACTAGGGGTTTGGTGGTTTGGGGTATTAGGGGTTTGGGTAAAGCCGCCCCTGCATACTTGAGCCCTGAAGCCCACCATACAGCTGCCGTTCCGAGCGCCTGCAAACACTTCGCTCGCAGTTCTTCGGCCTGCGTTGGCTTAGGAGGGACCCTGAAACCCTAAACCCTACACCCTAAACCCTGAACCCTCAACCCTAAATCCTGAACCCTAGAGCCTGAGCCCTGAACCCTCAACCTTCTTTTGAGGTTGCGGGTGAAGAGCTCGGGATATGGAGCCGATGCATCACTGTGACATGAAGGCTCCCGGTAACGACACACCACCAGCAAAAGAGCTGACCCGCAGCCCTGAGCCCTGCAAGTATTTCTCGCTCTGCAGAGGGCTCTGCGCCATAAAGCCGTATACACCTCAAGAGCCCTGAAATTTCCGAAAAACCTGAACCCTAAACCCTAAACCCTAAACCCTAAACCCCAAGCCCTAAAAAGTCCTGAACCTACACCTCGGCCAAGAACGCAGGGGCGCGCCTCACGGGCTGCTTTGAGCCCTTCCACTACTTCGCTGTGCTGCTGGTGCAGGTCTGTCAGCTGGATCTCATACAGAGAACGCCTTCGTGCGTTTTAGGATTTTAGGATGCAGGGCTAACTTGGAGGTTCAGGGTACTTGTTCAGAATAAATTCAAGTATAACCATATTAGGGCACTTAATGGGCTTATAAGTGGGTCAGAAGTACCATGAACCTCCAAGTATGGTTCTGCAGCTACCGAGCACGGCACTGGTAGTCTAGCTGGGAAGCCAGAATCGCGTCCAGCTCCATGGAAAGCATGTGCTGGACAGAAAGGACTTCGGTCAAGCTCAGCAATTTGCCTTTCGTCTTTCGAAGGACAAAGTTTGGCCTCGTTGTGGGTGGAGGATGTAGCCTTGGTGCATCTCCAAATGGCCACAAAAATCATGCAGCATCGCGGTAGCGGTAGTTGACTGCGACACTTTGGATATTTGCAAGACTCTGCTGCAGTGCATCAACATCCAGTACTCCAATACAATGTGCGCGACCAACGGAGACCCTACTTCAGAACTGCCCCATGCGGAAGTTCTCGCAAACAGGGGTACCCTTTTGGGGGGTCCCTTTAAAGGGATTCTATTCGATTTGGGGTGTAAAAGGGGTACCCCTATTTTGGCAAGTACCCATGTATTCGCCGTCAGGCACACAACACGCCAAACTGAGTTGCTGGCCTTGGGTCCCGATGATGTCGCTTCCCCACTGATCTCGGGGGAGGGGAGAGGAGGGGAGGGAATTCTAAATTTTGGGTCCTCTTGTAGGTACTTGTTTGTACCAGGATTCCCAAACAGGACTACTGGCTGACGGAGAGCACAGAACAAAACGTGGAAGGTGTTTTCGGGTGCTGTCAGCAAACACCTTTTGCACAGGTCCACGACAATGTCGGATGCAGCATGAGCACCGCAAGTTTGGAGTGTTTTAGGGGGCTTGAACCCAATGTGCCTTATTTGGTGCGTGGGGATCCCGAATTAAATTCTTGGGGACACCAACTCATCCTTGCTAAAACCGAAATTCTCGGGGGTCTGATGCCAAGTCTTGGGCAGCCGGAACTGGAAGTGCCAACCTGAGTCAGCAAGCCGGTCAATCTGTCTTCTTTGGGTTTGAAAAGGTTTGGGGCAGATGTCAATTTTAGAAAGCACGAAGAAAATGAATAGATGTGAAGACAAGAAAAGAGATGTTCAAACCACTTACTTCGACCACGATGTGGGAGCCATTCTGCCATTTTCGGACCTTGCACGGATGCTTCGCGGTAGGCTTCTGTTGCGGGACTCCGCGGAAATCTCTGCGGGTAGGCTGTCTACAGCCTGGGCACTCCAGAGATTCTCGGCGGGACTCGTTGCGGGATTCTCTGAGTGCTCCTCTGGGGGCAGGCACTCCAGGGAGACTTACTCGGCAGGGCTCTCTGCTAGCCTTGTTGTGGTGTGGGCACTGAGGGAGTACTTGGTGGGAATCTTTGTAGGTTTCTTGAAGGTTTACGGAGATAGGGGACCCGAAAAAAGATCCCGAAATAGTAGGATTCCCTTAATAAGGACCCCAAATAGCTACCCCTAATTCCAGAAACCCCCTCTTTGCATGTGGGCACTCAAGGGACCAGGCCAGAAGATCAGGAGAACCAGCAACTCAAAGTCTAGCAGCCCCACACCGAGGGTCGGCAACAATCATGCTAGTAAAGAAAAAACGATCGTAGCCCTAAACCCTAAACCCTAAACCCTAAACCCTAAACCCTAAACCCTAAACCCTAAACCCTAAACCCTGGCAGCTGGGCTTGGGGAGGCGCTCGTAGAGTCCACCCGACGCTGCGGTTTGCTGCACCAGCCTCCCCCAGAAAAGGCAAAGGTCTAAACAGGGATTTCCGAAACTAGGGGTTTAGGGTTTAGGGTTTAGGGTTTAGGGTTTAGGGTTTAGGGTTTAAGGTTTAAGGCTTAGGGTTTAGGGTTTAAGGTTTAGGGTTTAGGGTTTAGGGTTTAAGGTTTAAGGCTTAGGGTTTAGGGTTTAAGGTTTAGGGTTTAGGGTTTAGGGTTTAAGGTTTAGGGTTTAGGGTTTAGGGTTTAGGGTTTAGGGTGTAGGGTGCAGGGTGGACGGCGACTGGAAAGTGCCCACCGGGCCTTGCAAGGTTGAAGGGCCAATACCCTGAACCTCCCCAAAGCCATTAAACGCGTATGGGTGCACTAGGGGCCTGCGTGGACAACGAGTTGACGATGCGCGAGGGTTTGGGGTTTAGGGTTTCGGGGTTTGGGTGCAGGCTCTAGAGGAGAGTTGGCATGCGCTACCTAAGGCCCTACCAGTGGTAGAGTTAGCACGCGCTACCTAAGGCCTACAGAACCCTTTTTTGGGGGGGAGCCTGCGGTGGACAAAGACGTCACACTCATAGTCCCAGATGCGACCAGTCGCCAGGTGGAAACCTGCAGTCAAGTCACCAAAGAACAAGGAGCCATGAGGAAGTACAAGGATGACATGGGCTGTTCTCTGAATCATGGTGCCTTTTTGGGTACCTTAAGTATATGGGAGTCCGTTTTGTACTAGAAAGCCCAAAAGGGACCATAATTTAGCGAACTGTCCATATGCCCAGGCTGCTGACAGAAGCGATGCCGCTGTTGGGTCGCGTGGTCCTCTTCCAGCGCCGGCTGCTCAACGGGGTCTACGACTTAGGGTTTCGGGTTTCGGGTTGGAGGTTTAGGGCTTAGGGTTTGATGCACCTTCGCATGTGCATCTTGGTATCTTCCACATCCAAGGTGACCACAGATGAGGCAAACCCAGAGATCCTGGCAAGGAGCGCAATGCAAAGGCTCGATGCAGCGTGTGCCACGCTGGCTGAGTAGGGTTTAGGGACCCTAAACCCTAAACCCTTAACCCTAAACCCTAAACCCTAAACCCTAAACCCTAAACCCTAAACCCTAAACCCTAAAGTAAAACACCCTAAAAGGGTCGGGGCTCCTCCTCTTGTGGACAGCACGTGCAGGCCAGCATGGGCCTGAGGCCGACAGAAGGATCCGGGAGCAAGAACAGCGGCAACGATTGCCTGGGTACTTTCCGCACCAGCCCGCACCCTCAATGAGACACCCCTGAACCCTGAACCCTAAACCCTAAACCCTCAACCCCAAACCCTAAACCCTAAACCCTAAACCCTACACCCCAATCTGAAGGTTTTCCCAAAGTAAGGGCCGGGCCGATCTGCCAACGCGCGCTGGGCGATGACCTGAGCACGGGCGTGCGCCCTTGGGTTTAGGGTTTAGGGTTTAGGGTTTAGGGTTTAGGGTTTAGGGTTTAGGGTTTAGGGTTTAGGGTTTAGGGTTTAGGGTTTAGGGTTTAGGGTTTAGGGTTTAGGGTTAGGGTTTAGGGTTTAGGATTTAGGGTTTAGGGTTTAGGGGTTTCGGGTTTAGGGGTTAGGCTAAACCCTTTGAAACCCTAAGCCCCTCAACCCTCAAGCGGTGCTTTAGGAGATACGTGGGGAGGATGAGGAGCTTAGGGTTTCGGGGTTTGAGGTTTAGGGTTTAGGGCTTTTTTTTCGGGTTTGACCGAAGTCCTAAACCTGTAAAAACCCTTCAACACCTAAACTCTAAACCCTATAAACGTCCAAACCACTCAAATCTCAAACCCCTGACTCAGCCTGAACCCCAGACCCCCAAGCACACCTGCCAGGAGCGCGGCTGCGCAGGCGGTGCAGGTGGGTGGGCGACACGTCTTCCCAGTTTGGGCGTCATCGGAGATCCACCCGTGGCTGTGAGTGACCATGCCTGCGTTTAAGGTCTAGAGTTTTTGATGATTAGGGCTTTTGACGATTCAGTCAAAAGTGCTGCGAAGAAACATATGCAAAACTATATATATATTTGTACATCTAAGCCGCAAAACCCCTAAAACCGAGGAGCTGTCATGTTTCGGCCCAAAGGCTTCAGGCTTACGGGCCTGTGCCAGAGACGTCGATGCGCTCGATGCACACCGGGCACGAGGGCAGCTCCTGGGAAGTCTTGGCTTGGGGTTTAGAGGTTACGCCTTCGGGCCTGGGCAGCTTGGGGCTTTTCGTTGGGCGTTAAACCCTAAACCCTAAACCCTACTCAACCCTAAACCCTAAACCCTAAACCCTACACCCTAAACCCTAAACCCTAAACCCTAAACCCTAGACCCTAGACCCTAGACCCTAAACCCTAAACCCTACACCCTAAACCCTAAACCCTAAACCCTAAACCCTAAACCCTAAACCCTGCCCCCCCGGGCGCTGAGGCCGCGGCGTACGCGGTGCTGGGAATGGTGGAGCTCCACTTTGCTGCCATGGCCGCATCTTGCTTCTCCGAGTCGGCCCTGGTCAGCGTCGGCTGCACCTGAGTACCTTCAGGGGGGAGGGGGGAAAAGCCAAGGCATGGGCTTCTTTTGGGGGGGGTTAGGGTTTAGGGTTTAGGGTTTAGGGTTTAGGGTTTAGGGTTTAGGGTTTAGGGTTTAGGGTTTACGGTTTAGGGTTTAGGGTTTAGGGTTTAGGTTTTAAGGGTTTCCATGCCCAGAGCTTCGAGCTTGACACAGGCGCTGGCTCACCGGCATGAGATGGGTCGATGTCGTACACGATGGCCTCGCTTGGCGAGCCCCAGCGCCAATTTGGGAAGCGAATTGTCGATGATGACCCCGCTTTTGGTGCCCCTAACAGTAAGGAATATACCATGAGACAGACCCCATGCCCCAAAGAACACTCAGACAGCTGTGACGGATACACGAGAAGAGAGACGCCAAGCAAGCATCAGAAAAACACACTTTAACGGAGACCCCAACAAAAGACTTCGACATTCAAAACAAAAGGGCCTACAATCGATATAAAGCCCCAAATGGGGGGTTTACGATAATAGGGGTACCTAATTGGGGTCCTTATTATAAGGGAAGCCTACTATTTGGGGGTCTACATTTGGGGCCCCTTATTCTCGGAAACTCCCAAACAGCAACGGGGTCTGTGCCTCGAGGAATGCCAAGTAGCAACACGCCCCGCCGTTCCGCGACTCGGCCTTCGACTTGATGCATCGATGGCCCCCCTAAAACTTGGGGACCAACTGAACCCTGGAGTAGGGGTCGTATACCCTGTACGATTCTACTCCCGATGGAGGTATAGGAACCATAAACCCTTTTAGGGTTCATTCGGTCCCCAAGGAAACCGTACATGAACCAACCCCACGCAGGTCCCCCAGGTACAAACTATCTTGGGCTGCATCCCCTCCAACCAGGGAACTTACCATGACCTGCTACCTCTACTACTTGAGGTTTGACACCACTATAAGCTACTGCTAATTGCCCACGACCCTGGGCATAATCCACTATTTATGCCTGCACAAGGGCTGTCAGAGCTGCTATACCCTGGCTTATAACCTCCTATGCCCTCCATTAGGGGTCATGGCCACTAAGTACCTCCACCCTAAACCCTAAACCCTATAATATAGCCTGCAATGCGGCGGGTCTCTGATGCTGATGAAGATGATGAAGATTATGATTGCCATCAGATTGAGAAGCATTAAAACCAAAAAAAGACAATTCAAGTTCACTCATGTTGATAGATCCCTAAGCCCTAGACACTAAACCCCAAAACCCTAACCCCTAGACCCTAACCCTAAACCATAAACCCTAAACCCCAAGACCCTAAACCCCAGACCCCCCCCCCCCCCCCTTAACCCCAAACCCTAGATCCTAAACCTCGCCTTCTGATTTGTACAACCCTGAAACCTGACTTCAGGCCTTGCCAGCACAGCTGCCCTGTGGCTCCTGACCTGGTTTAGGGTTTAGGGTTTAGGGTTTAGGGTTTAGGGTTTAGGGTTTAGGGTTTAGGGTTTAGGGTTTAGGGTTTAGGGCTTAGAGGTACGTGCTTTGGAGACGGAAGGAGCTGGTTTTTACTTCGGGCTGAGCGGGCATGTGAGATTTAAAGGGTTTCTAGGGCAGGGCTTAAAGGGCTTGTGGGATACCTGGGTGTTTTGAAGGGTGTTGAGGGTTTTTTTTCGGACTCTTGGGGTCGAAGGCACCAAAAAGAAGACCCCCCAAAAAAACCAAGGGAACTGAAGAATTAGAACTTCATTCTGGGCCCAACAAAGCGAGCCCTCAACCCCAAGCCCCGAAACTGCCTGTGAAGAGTCTGCCATGGTTTGCCTTGTACAAGGCATCAGCCGCTGCCTTCTCGGGATGCAGTTTAGGGTTTAGGGTTTAGGGTTTAGGGTTTAGGGTTTAGGGTTTAGGGTTTAGGGTTTAGGGTTTAGGGTTTAGGGTTTAGGGTTTAGCGTGTAGGGTGTAGGGTGTAGGGTGTAGGGTGCAGGGTGTAGGGTGTAGGGCTTAGGATTTCGGATCTTGGCAGCCTAAAGACGCAAAGGAACGGCCTGGTCACGGCACAGCAGGATGACCTTCAGACGCAGAGGAGGAGGGAAGCGGAGGCGAGGGAGGAAGAGAGAGAGAGAGCAAGACAGCCCGCACCTCAGGAATTGCCAAGATCGGGATAAAGCATGCGCACCAGCAACGAGAAATGCTGCAAAGGGGAATCGCCGAGCGCCAGGCCGTGTAGAAGCCGCTGGTGCCCGAACCCGGCGCACACTTGCCCTCCAAGGAGGGGCAAGAGAAGGAACCTCACTGTCTCAGAGAGTCTCGTCACTCTGCTCTCTGAGCCCGAAGTTCCGAAGGCTTGCTTGGGGTTTCAGGGCGTCGGTTTAAGGTTTAGGTCGGGGTTTAAGGTGGCCCTTGCTACCTTATCCCCCAAACATCGTAGAAGCTCCCTTCCTCCCGGTTCGAAAACCTACGTGTTGCTCTGGCTTGCTTGGAGCAGAACCCACGCAACCAACAACATTTGACAGAAGTGCATCGTGGACACACACACACACATGCGCACACACCGCCAACGAAGAGGCCCGAAGCTTGAGCGAAAGGACCGGACCGGCCACCAACAGAGGCTAGCAGCCCGCCTACCCCCAGAAAATATTCCAAACCCGGGGGGGGGGGGGGGGGCTCTCAGGGTTTAGGGTTTAGGGTTTAGGGTTTCGGGTTGAGGGTTTAGGACATGCAAGTAGGGCTCGTGCTTGAGCGCCGACGGCTGTGTCGATAGAGCACGCGGACAGCCTCGATGCCTGTCCGTTGCATCACTGGTCTGTGAAGTGCTGGCACCCAGCCTGGAAACATGCACACCAAACAGACTTGCCTTCCACAAGCCTCAGCAACACCAGACGTCACTAGGCTCAAGTTTGCGGCTTGCTTATCTTCATCATCCCCTCGAAATCCCCATACAGTAGTTGGGAACAATCCACCCCGCCCCCCAATGTGGAGGTACACTGACGCTCACTCGAAGATTGGTTGGCACCAGACTCACAGTCCGCACCGAGGAAGGACTGCAAACTCTCCAGGGTCATCTCCTCAGTTCGTGTAGGGTGCATGGTGCAGAGGGTTTAGGGTTTAAACCCAAAACCTACCTACTTGATTGTAGATGATTACTATACGTAAAAACTCTTATAGGGTTCTGAGGTCGCCAACAAAACAATGGTTTTGGGCTTCTTAAGGAAGGGTTTAGGGGTGTTGAGGGTGTGTGCAACGCCGGCTTGTTCAAGGCTGGGGCACAGGCGGACGGCACGGCCACCAGCAGTAGCGCGCTCGTTCTCTGAATTGGCAAGGCATCCTGAACCACAAGGGGGCAACGTGCCGATGCACATGCCATGCTACCGTGCCACGCCACCGCAGTCGTGCATGTCGCAACAGCTACATGCTACCCCCGCTCCGCTCAAGTCGCAACTCCATGTCCTAATTGCCACCAGCTACCCCGACACTGAGGAAGCATGAGGGAACAGGATTGCTTTAGTATCCCACCCCGTAGGTTTTGTGAGGAAACTGGATTTGCTTTAGCGTCCCGTCTATCAATCAGCATGAGGAAGCAAGATTTGCTTTAGTATCCGACCCAATAGGTGTTATGAACTCATAGTATTTGCTTCAGTGTCCCGTCTATGAGGAAGCATGAGCAGGATTTGCCTTAGTGTCCCACCCAATAGGTCTTATGCTGCAGCGTCCCGTCTGTACGGAAACATGGGGAAGCAGGATCTGCTTTCGTGACCCACCCCATAGGTCTTATGAGGAAATTGGATTTGCTGTAGTGTCCCGTCTATGAGGAAGTATGAGGAAGGGTGAGGAAGCAGGATTTGCTCTAGGGTCCCGTCTATGAGGAAATAGTATTTGTATTAACGTCCCATCTATGAAAAGCATGTACACCTAACCGCGCCGTCCGGCTTGCGGACCTTAGCCCATGTAGTGGAGATCTCCTCAGTATAAATTCTAACACCATTGGCGGCGTGAAAACGTCGCAGCTCAACTTGCTTTGCATCTCCTTTTTCATAGAGTTTTTCTTGTCTTCCCAAGTAAAGTCTTCAGACTGCCAAATGAAAGGATTCCACAAGTGACCGTTCGAGCTCGTCAGATACACAAGAATCCTCAAGTTCCTGCTTCGTGGTCACAGCGGAAATGCACAAGTCGCAAAGCTCTCACACTACACACACACAAACACTCACACTCACACTCACACTACACACACACACACAAACACACACACACACACACACACACACAAAAGAAACAAATGTAATGCTGAGACTGGAAGTCGCAAAATGGGGCAAGGCACAGACTTGGCTGAACCATCCCAAGATCGTAAAAAGAAAGCAAAATGGGGAGTCCCAGTCTTGCCTGAACCCAAATGATCACAAACGGGACACTAAAGCCCATACTATGAGTTCGTAAGACCTATTGGCTCATGCTGCCTCATAGACAGGACATTAAAGCAAATCCAATTTCCTCATAAGACCTATTGGGTGGGACACTAGCAAATCCTGCTTCTTCATGTTTCCTCATAGACGGGACACTCAATAAAAATCCTTGTTCAGAGCACCTATTGGGCGGGACGCTAAAGTAAATCCTGCTTCCTCAAGCTTCTTCATAGACGTGACACTAAAGCAAATAAAAAATTTCCTGATAAGACCTATTGGGTGGGACACTAAAGCAAATCCTGCTTCTTCGTGCTTCCCTAAAGTAAATCCTGCTTCCTCATGCTTCTTAATGGACAGGACACTAAAGAAAATCCAATGTCCTAATACGACCTATTGGGTGGGACACTAAAGCAATTCCTGCGTCCTCATGCTTCCACATGGATGGGACACTAAAGTAAATCCTACATAAGACCTATTGGGTGGGACACTAAAGCAAATCCAGCTTCCTCATGCTTCTTCATAGGCGGGATACTAAAGCAAATCCAGTTTCCTCATAAGACCTATTGGGCGCAAGACCTATCAGGTGGGACACTAAAGCAAATCTTGCTTCCTCATGCTTCCTCATAGATGGGACCTTAAAACACATCCAATTTCCTCATAAGACCTATTGGGTGGGACACTAACTAGAGCAAATCTACTTCCTCATGCTTCCTCATAGATGGGACACGAAAGTAAATCCAATTTCCTCATAAGACCTATTGGGTGGGATACAAGCGCAATACTGCTTCCTCATGCTTCCTCATAGATGGGACACGAGAGCAAGTCCATTTCACTCATAAGACCTTGGGTAGGACAACTAAAGCAAATTCTGCTTCCTCATGCTTCCTCATAGATGGGACACTAAAGCAAACCCAATTTCCTCATAAGCCCTATTGGACGGGACACGAAAGCAAATCCTGCTTCCAACGTGCCCGGAAACCCGAAACTCGACATGCATTGTGGAAGCCCGTACTATCTAGGCCTTTTCTGGGTCGTGTGGGGTGCTAGCAGGCAGGGGACAGTATAGGATCCCATCAAAGAACGCCACTAAACCCAGGTCAAGCCCTGTTTTAACCCAGCGACATCTGAAACTCACGAGATGTCTAGACAGCGATATGACCTTAACTACACCACACTTACACCCCCATTGTCAACCCTAGTGAACCCTCATTCTCCCTACTGTAAACTTACATGTTAAGCCCTAACTCAACCGCGGCCATCCCGAACTCCGAACCTCCAGTCCGCGCCAGCTCCTATCGCGCGAAAGATCTTGATGGCCCGGGCCTGCAGGTTTCGGACCTATTTGCAACCTGCTTCTGACAACAGTTGCTTACTATCATCCTTGTTACTTGGTAGCCCAGAAAACATATCATACTAGGGGTCTGCTTTTTGGGGTTGGCGACTTTAGAAGGAAACCTAGGCAAACCTAGAACCAAGAACAGGTACCACTGGGCTACCAAGGCGAACAGCCACCTCTTGTGCCTCAATCACATCGACCACCGTTTTCGGGTCCCGCTCTTGCCCGGCCGCGGGACCGGCACAAGCTCTCCTGCATGGAGATTGCAAGCCGCCCTGCAACGTGGCAAGCTGCAGGCCCTAAACCCTGAACCCTGAACCTGAACCCTGAACCCTGAACCCTGAACCCTGAACCCTAAACTAAACCCTAAACCCTAAACCCTAAACCCTAAACCCTGAACCTGAACCCTGAACCCTGAACCCTGAACCCTCCTGGAGATGTGGCACATCGACATGTTCGAAGACGCCAGCGGAGGCGGACGGTGTGGGTGCCGCCTCTGTGACACATGGGGGGGGGGGGGGGGGGGGGGGGGGGCTTCCGAAATTCGGGTTTAGGGTTTAGGGTTTAGAGTTTGGGGTTTACTTGTTGGGATTCTATACGGCCCTCATTCCCTGATCCCCTCCTAATTCCAAGAACCAGGAGGGTCTATCAGCATATGAGAAGTTAGGAGATTAGGGCTACCTTATTTGGTATCCTTACAGAAAGAAAGGGAGTGGGGTCTTTTTTAGGGGTCCCTTGTTTTCGTAAACCCTCATGTGCTCTGGGACAGAACAGCTCCAACATAACCCTACACCCTAAACCCTAAACCCTAAATTAAACCCTAAACCCTTACATGTAAGTTGCAGCACTGGGCGCGCCGCCTGTGATCCGGCCACCAACACGTAGAAGACCATGACAGGGACGGAAGCATGCTCAAAGGAACATGCGGGGGTGGAGAGCTGGGGGTAGGGTTTAGGGTTTGGGGTTTGGGGTTTAGGGTTTAGGGTTTAGGGTGTGTAGGGCTTAGGATTTAGGGTTTAGGGCTTAGGGTTTAGGGTTTGAGGGGTTTAGGGGGTTTAGGGGGAGGACTGGTTGTGTTTAGGGGCTTCCTTAGAGTCTGGAAAGCACCTGGAAGCTTTCATCGAGAACAACCCCCACATGCTGAAGGTGCATGTACAGCATGGACAGCTGCTCCGAAAGCTAAGCCCTAAACCCTAAACAGTAAACCCTAAACCAACAAATCTCAAAAGGTGTCTGGCAGGTGAGGAGGTGCCATGCTGGGCAGTGCTCATGAGCTGCTGCAAACGAAGGCGCGCGGATGATTTTGCCAGATGGCCGAGGAGCTCCTGCCTATGTGGGATTCCAGTACATCATGTGGTTCTAAACCCTAAACTCTAAACCTAAACCCTAAACCCTAAACTCTAAACCCTAAACACGAGGATCAGCGAAGCTTGTGGCATGAACGAGTGTGCCCGCGGTCGTCTCGCTGGGGGCGCTTTGGGAAGCGGCCTGCAGCGCAATCCAAGCACTTGTTCTTGAAAAAGTGGTAGCATTCATACATATACATATATATATATATGTATATATATATAATTATATATATATAATTATATACATATATATATATATACACATATATATATATATATACATAACCTGGTCTTGGTCTTGGTAGTGGTATTGGCAATTCTCCTACATGATGTGTATGCGCTCGGGTGGCCTGTGGTGTTTCGTCCGAAAAGCCGATGAGCCATATGAGCCAATGCCATCTTCGCGCGGGGCGGTCTCATCGGGAGCTTCCTCTTGAAGGATTCGGCGGGTCAAAGATCATGCCGTGGTTGCCTCGGCACCTCTGCAAGGCAACTTCTCTGTTCTCCGGATTACGTGGGGCGGGGGCATGTTCTCATTTTAGGGTACCTTTTGGGCCTAACAGAGGCATTCATGCGGGGACACGCGGGCCCTGCCCCCAAGCATCACAGCGGACCACAAGTAATGAAGTTGGGTGGACTTAGGCCCACTTGAAACTAAGCTCCCGGCTCAAGCCCGAACCTCATGACTAGACCTGCTTTGCGCCGCTGGCCCTGTGGGGATAAAGCTCCGGCAAGATCCAGGTCCAGCAAGGGCCACTCCCCAGAACCTTCTCAAAGCTTGCGCTTGAGCCTGCGGTGCCTCGGCAGCAAAAAAAATGTCGGTAGCAGAACTATGTGCTGGTAAAGGAACTACGACGAGTACTTCCCTGCGGCACACAGTGGCCCCAGCCTAGATTGCCAGCTACTACATAAATAAATCACAGCAGGTAACGTAACACCACATATTTTTGTATAGTCTAGCACGTCAGATATGTAATATACACTTACTTTATACAACGTGCCGCACGACCCAAGAGATGGTTATCCTTGCAGGCACAGTGGCTGAGTCCTCGCTTTCGGCCCTGCCGGCTTTGGAGTCTGCTTATGGTGGTCTCCCCGGAGCGGAGAAGCCGAATCTGCTTGAGGAGCAGCGCGCCCGTCATGGCAAACACGGTGCAAGACAGGAGAAGCAAGACGCAGGCCTTGGGAACTTCGCTTGCATTGCCTACGAATTCGAAGTAGGTAAACTCTTGAAGCTGCAGCCAGGCAGCCGCATGTAGGTGAAGGCCCCCGTACGAGTGCTCCAAAAATCGGACGACGTAGATGGGAAGGGTGTTTTTCGACAGCGGCGGGAGCTTTGCTGCTATGTCGCTCAGATTCTGAATGATGTCATCCATGTGGATCAAGCAATAGCAAGTCGTAATGGCCAGCACGTACGCCACAGACACCGTTGCCCAAAACAAGAACACAACAAAGCTTCGGCGATTGCCCCTCCCCACGCAATTACCAATAAAAGGACAGTGGTGGTCCATGTCATAGACACACTGCCGACAGATTCTGCAGTGGTGGCTGCCAGGTGGCTTCCCTTGGCCACATGCCTTACAAAACCGAAAGCCCTCCAGAGCACCGGGGCCAACGTTGCCTAGACGCTGGGCCGTAACGAACCCAGGATCTCGAAGGACGGACTGGGCGTAGTTGAGGAGGGTGTTGGTCCACAGCCATACGCAGGAAAGCCAGTGGGCGTAGAAGAACAACCTCTCAGGGGGCACCCCTGGCAGCCTAAGAACATGCAGGTGCCCCAGAACTGGTTGTGCAGGTACCCCCTACTCTGCGAAGCAAGTTCCCCACCCTGAGGTGCCGCCGAGAAAATCCGGGTAGATGTAGAAAACTCCCATACCCGTAATGGCATTGATGGTCCCCAAGACCAGCAGAACCATGAAGCAGCTCCAAGTACGGCGCACAAGTGGAATGGACACCAGCTCGGAGATTGCGGAGGAGAGCTGCAGCAGCACAGGCTTCTCTCCCTTCCGCTGGCAGCCGTTCCACGCGCTGCAGAAGGTGCACTTCATCTCCAGCTTGTCATCGAAGGAGCCATCCAGGCCCCTCCCGCAAGCCCAACCTTGTGGACGCAATGAACCCTACGAGGGCTTATGGTTCATATACCTTAGTAGGAATTATAGTAGTATAGGGCATTATGAACCCTAAAAGGGCTTCTGGTTCATGTACCTCAATAGGAATTATAGTAGTCTAGGGTATATTAGACCCAAATTTTAGGGTTCATTTGGTCCCCAAGGAACACTTCAGCGGGCCCTGCGTTTCGAAGGCCGCTTTTGACTCCAGGTCCTCCGTGTCATCCGCCTTGGGGAGCATCTCCATGCTCGAGTCTGGGTGCCGGGCATCGGCGTTCTTGCCCCCCCCCCCCCCCAGGTGTTTAGTTTTTAGGTTTAGGGTTTAGGGTTTAGGGTTTAGGGTTTAGGGTTTAGGGTTTAGGGGGTTTAGGGTTTAGGGGGTTTAGGGTTTAGGGTTTAGGGTTTAGGGTCACCTCTTGGGATCCCATGTAAACCCTGAACTCGTTGTTGAGCGCATCGCAAACCCTGAGCCGCAAACCCATGCAAACCTGTTTAGGTGGCACCCTAAACCCTAAACCCTAAACACTGAGCCATAGGATCGCTCGACAGAGAGCCATCGTTGCTAACTGCTGCTCTTTCCAGGCAAGCCAGTGGCATTTGGGAGTTTCCGAAATTGGGGTTTAGGGTTTAGGGTTTAGGGTTCAGGGTTTAGGGTTCAGGGTTTAGGGTTCAGGGTTGAGGGTTGAGGGTTTAGGGTTTAGGGTTTAGGGTTTAGGGTTTAGGGTTTAGGGTTTAGGGGTACCGTATTGGGGTACCGCATTGGGGTCCTGATGATAAGGGGAATCCTACTTACTTGGGGGGTCTATGTTGGGGGCTCCCTGATTTCCGTAGGCCCCCATTTCAGTGAACGCGTTGCACCCCAGGCGCGCTTTTTCTCGGCAGAACTCGGCCAACTTAAATAATCAAATGGGGTAACGGTAAAAAACAACGCACTTCCGGCAAGAATCGCGCTGGATCACACAAGGTGGTGTCCGTCTTCTGCCTGCGTCCCGGCATGGGCTTCAGTCTCTTCGAGACCATCGCCCACACACAAAACTGTCAGATATCGTCGTGCGACAATCCTGGTGTGGAGGGATTTCCAAACAATAAAGCTGCTGGAGCTCCAAAAATCAGTTGCCCTCTCGGGTTGGCGATTGGAGGCATCTCATGGGTTTTTGGGGGCTGCAACTTGGGAACCTGATTTTTGAAAGCTTCCCAGGTACCTAATGTGAGCCACTTTCCTGCAATTACAGGCACAGACTACTCTGCGAGGCGCCCGGCGGCAGCATTCTTTGCGCCAGCGAGGAGCTTCGGTGAAACATTCCGAGGCGGATGGGCCTGGGGCAAGGAGGGCTTTGCAAAGGTCAGCTCGAAATCATACTTCCACGGCGCCTCCCTAAACCCTAAACCCTAAACCCTAAATCCTAAACACTAAACACGAAACCCTAAACCCTAAACCCCTGTTTGGCACACTAAAGACCTGGCCTTATTCAAGAACAGGATGGGGGCGAGCCCGCCCTTTGAAGGACCTGCGGGCCAGCAGGCCAGCACAAGCCCGAAGCTCACACCCGTAGCAAATTAAAACCCTAAACCCTAAACCCTGAACCCTGAACCCTGAACCCTAAACCCTAAACCCTAAACCCTAAACCCTAAACCCTAAACCCTAAACCCTAAACCCTAAACCCTAAACCCTAAACCCTGAACCCTGAACCCTAAACCA